GTTGTTTGGTTGTACTTTGCATTAGCTCCCACTAAGGTCTACAAATGCCCCCAGTTTTCCTAGGTGTTTTACATCCCAGCTGTATCTGTTTTAGTTGCTGAAACAAAGGTTTCAGTTGTATCACCTGAGCTTTGCACCACACAGTTCTGGTGCCACAGGACATGAAGCTGCACTGCCCATTTCAGGCTGTGGTACCAGTGCCAGCCCAGCCTTGGGTAGAGCCAGTGCTCAGCCGGGACCTCTGAGCTGCGTGGGGTCCCTCTGTGAGCTTCATCGTTGCAGAAACCACACATACTGCCAGCTCCGTGCTAAAGACCCGCTGCATTGCATTTGGTGTGTTTGAAATTTACAAACCTATGAAAGTTTTATATGTACCTAATTACGTTAGCCCAAAAGTAGTTTCAAGAGCGGCACTATAAAAATAGAATTGCAATAGCTGTATAGACACATCACAATATAAATCTCTGCGTATACGACTAGGCAAGGCATTTGCAGCGGGTACAGGCAGTGCCCTCTTGTGACTGAATACGCGAAGTGCAGGCAGAGTTCGGCTCTGCGGAGCAAACAAGGATGTCACTGCTGTAAAAACGGAGAGGGAGATGTTCCGAGCACCCTTCCCACAGCAAGTCACTGCAGAGCTCAGCTTTAGCTTCTAGGAAGCCAAATGATAATCTTACTGCAGATATAAAACTCAGTTTAAAAAAAAACAAACCAACCAACCTACCCTTTACACTGAAGAAGTAGGTATTTTCCTGAAAACAGCATTTGCAAGTATTTTTATAAGTGGTTAAATATTTTCAAGATTTTAAAAGTACTTATATTGACAGCATTCCTTTTACAGACCCAGGTGGGACTTTTTCTTCATTATTTGTTATTATTACTACAATACTGAGGAAATGCAAAAAAAACCCAACATGTATTTCTACCTAGAAAATGCATGCAAATATGGTGTGCCTTTTAAATGGAAGCAGGCCTGAAGCTACAGCAAGAGCCCAGAAGGAGCTGATCTCCAGGGTTCCTAAGGTAAGCAACACATTAAGCATTTAAAAATACATTAATTTTTCCCCACAGGCAAACTACAGTTAGCTGATGCAGTAGCTTTGTGTTGGGTTTCCATTCAGTATCTGGAACTAATGGGTATGTCACAAATAGCAGACTTAGACCTGATTTGATATAGTTATGCAAGGCCTAAGTTTTCTAGAAATGCTGATATTAAGAGACTATCAAAAATATATAAATTCTCCTACAGGTACACAGAATAAGCTAATTCAACACTATATTCATTACTGCTTGTGATGCTCCCAAAACTCCAAGCCCCAAAGAAAGGAACAGAGCCATAAGAATAATAATTTTAATATAATTAATACAGAAAGCACATGGTACATTCCTTTCCAGCAGCAGCTAATTCCACTCTTCCACTAGGGGAAAAAAAAAAAAGTTAAGGCTAGTTGAACACAACCTGATACAACGGTTTCTTTCCCAAACTCATTTTTGGAGATAGCCTTTGTAAGTTTAAGAGACTACTTGTGCACAAAACATGGGATGTTTAATTAGCAAAATATCAAGAACAGAGAAAAACATGCTTTGTTACAGTGATAAAAACACCACGCTTTCAAGCTGCTTTCTACACCAACTCGGTTCTGAAACCATGAAGCAGCGTGTTCTGCCTCAGCCTCGTGTTGAGCAGCTATCACTGGGGAGCCTGGGGACCAAGTTCACCTATTCCATGGAGTATAAAGTGCACAAGAAAAATAAGTGCATTGAAAAAAAAACATCTGTGATAAGAAGTAATTCCTCTTACATGCAATACTTGCTTAAAGTGGAACTGTCACAGGCTGTGTAGTGAAACACTATACTACATTTGCAACAGCACAGAATCAGTATCACAGGCATCAGAAAGACTTGTACTGAACATAGGTATTTCAGTATTTTTTCCTCCAATTATCTCCCATGCCAAAACAAGAATTCTCATGCAGCTTATTGTGGCTCTAGGGTGATGTGTAAGGCATCACCTGTAAATAACACCTTCACTTTTCACCCTCCATGTTCAAAATAAGCAAGCAGTTAGTAGTGCAGTGAGTCTTCCCATCTACTACTGATTTGATCCCCTATTTCTAAAAACAATTAGCAGAGTAGGAGCTCGGAGTTTTATCAGTGCAGTATTTATCCCCAAGTATTAAAGTTTCAGTATTACCAAACTTTACATTTTTTACAGGCTGCTAGGAACCATATTTTCCGTTTTCCTACTCACAGGTTAAGGCCATAGATAGCAATACTTAGGAGCCAAACCCTGAAACAATGATCTAAGTGCTATTATTAATTTATGGGCACATTCACCATATAAAGAAAAAGAACAACTGTTTGGGAGGTTCCCAAGTGCATTAAACACATAAAGGGTTGGGTGAAATCCCTGGAATCTTTGGGCATTACATTTACCAGCAGTAGATGCTTCAGAATAAAGGCTGCTGCTTCAAAATAGCTTATTCAGATCCCCTACAATAAATGCTGAAGGCTAAAACAGTTTCTTACCCTTGTATAGAAGCTATTTTACAAGTTTCCTTTCACAGTGAAATCACTTTTCTGTCTGTATACTCCTTTCTGAGACCAGAAATAAAAATTGGGGTTAGTTTCCACAACATTTCATTTACACTGCTAGATTATCTCCAAGCCAGTGCAGTACACGATAAAGCAATACTTTTTGGATTAGAAGACTCAGTTGTCAAAACCAATGCTGTTTTTTTACCTACAGAAGACATATCTGCCTTCTTCACTGATAAGCAATAGACTAACCATGTAATCATATACTGCTTGCAAAACTACTGTTTTGCAACAACATAAAGTGGTTCAAAGGCGCGGGCTGTGGAGTACTGCCAGCACTTCCAAACACAGTATTTGTCACCAAGCAGCGTGCACAATAATGTACTTAAACTCCAGGTTTTCTGCACATTCTCTACATGTACCACAGGAAGAATTCACACAACTTCTTTTCCATTTCCAGCCTAAGGCCAGACAACTGGCAGCAAGAAGCCAAGCAGCTCATACACCCATCTATTTTTAAGTCACTTACGCTAATCAAATATGCATCCTGAAAAAATGGGATTTTTGGGTACTTGCACTTGTAGAAAAGAATAGATATTTTGCTACAAGATTATTTAGCTAGAAACCTATAACATGGTTGCCAAGTCCCAGTCTCCCATCTGGCCATAGCAATTCCAAGGCCTCAGGAAGAGGTAAGGTAAAATAATTTTAGGCAGTATTTAAGGGGGGGGGGGGGGGGGGCGGTGCTGAGGGAAAGGAGGGAAAGGTGAAACATGTGGAAGACACAAAAGATAACGCATTGGGAAAATGAGATGATAGGAAAGAGACTGCAGACACTCAGAATGGTCTCACTGGTACATAGGTTTGTGCTTTTAAAGCCTTACACTTACCTTGAGATGCTTCTATGGCATCTTTGTCAATACATCTGAGCACCTGCAGCAGAGCAGAATGGTATGTAGCCTAGGAAAAGCCAACAGACAGTAACCCACACACTGACAGATGATTACAGAGTCCATCACCTAAACCCTCCCTGAAATTTTTCAGGAGAGAAACAGTTGAGAAAAGAGTTCAAGAGCGAGCAGTAGTACTGAAACTAAAGGAAGAGGTTTTCCAGGAAGCACAGACTAGGTAAGTAAAGCAAGGGAGTGTGGAACTAGGTAAAGGCAAAAACAATAGTGACATTTCCAATAACTTTCTTGCTCGAGAATGAAAAATTAGACCACACTTCATGCAGCGGCTAACAGAACAGATCAACTCCTTCATCACTCCTTGCTTTCCAGGTCACTCCTTCAAACAGCTTTAAGATCTCTAATACTCTGCTGTGGTAGAGTGTGTCCCAAAGAAAGATCCTAGGTTTTCCAAGAACAAAGTAACACAATTTTCTACAATAGGGGATCAGTCTCCATTGTCTTTAGAAACAGTGGCTTTTTCAAGTTGTATTTTGTGACTTCTCCTTCTATAGACTTGATCCCAAAGAGGAAGTTCTCCATATAAAACATCTTAGTCGAAACTGTACAGCTCATATATATGCAATTTGTACAACCAGATTTTACTGTATACATGTAGTTGCAAGTTTGCTAGTCAGTGTAGACAGAAGTAGCTAAAAAGTAACTAAAACAGTATTTCACTGCAAACAGGAAGCAACAGACTTCAGAGATTAATATTTTACATCAACACAGGTTCACAGGTCTTGCAGCTTTTCAAGTCAGTTTTCATTAGATGGTATACAGTAAAACTCTCATCTACTTTTATATATAGTTTCAGCTTTCCAAGCAGATTTCTAATATTCACCACCAGTAATCCTGAAATGAAGAAACCAGATGTACAACAGATTCTGGGGTAGCAGCTTAATGTACTGTAGAAAAATCACTTTTGTTTAATCAAGGTCTAGAATCCACTTCAGTAACATTCCCTGAGGCAACCCACTATTTTATTGTTTGATTCTCCAATCATTTGTATATAGCTGCTCTTCTGTTCTAGACTGCTTTGTTTCATTAAAAATAGACAGTTAGAAAAAGACATCTGTTGACTTTCATTGCTAATTTTGTATTTCAGCAACTATGCTTCCCCTTAATACGTTCTTCCCCTCCTCAAGTTTTTTCGCACAAGATAGGAGTTCAGATCTCTAAACAAATGTTAATTTTTGAAGAAGAAATATGTGAACTGGAAAGAATGTAGCAGACAGATACAGAATAGAATTAATATGCAATGAACAGTCTAAAATTTATCTTGCTAAAGCTGAAGTTGTTCTCTCTATTGAAGACAGAATCTGTGGTGCTAAAAAGACCAAGGATGCAGAGAAGTGGTGGGGTGGAGGGTAGAGAAACAGAAGAGAATCACCATCCCTGGTCCACAGAAACACACTGAGCAAGAACCTAGTGTATCTTTACACGCTCAATGGACTAAGGAGGTTTCTCCTGATACAACTCCACCTTTAACATGTAAAAAAAGCCGGTCTGTAATCAATGCACTTAAAGCTTTTAATTTTTAGTAACTTCACTTAGACTTTGTTTATAAAACAAACACACAAGCACACTTCCCAGAGTGCAAAATGCTTAAATATTTCAATTACAGAACTCCACATGTAGTTTTTGGAAGAGTGATCCTTTTGCTCTCACAGTCAATTTCTTCCATTGCCAGCAACGGCTGCATTAAAACTAACCAAAACATGCAGCAAATGCAGCAGTCAATAACTCTGTACTGTTTCTTCAGTTTTCCAGAGGCCATTGCTCATTTGTATAAACTCATCGTTGGACTTTGATACATGCACATGTACGCATCACAAAGTAGTCTTCTTGCACAACCTTGAATTTTTCTGGAATCTAACGAGTGTAATTCTTCTAGAGACATCTTCAGATATTCACCAACTTCTGGACATGGAGTAACTTGCGGAATGTTAAAGCCATTCTGACCTCCTTTGAACCATAAGGAAAAGGAACAGATTAGGATAGCAGCTATATGCATTTGCTCTTTGAAATGTATTTTAATTATGACAGCATCACCAGTTCCTGAAAATGCCTTCTACAGAAATCTAAACATGCCTTTCTGGTCTACTGCAGAGTAAACATCTAAGAGAAGTGTATCGGTCAAGAAAGATATCACCTTTGGTGTCAGACTATCTTGTAGCGTTTACTAACAAAACACCCACACAAACACCCCACCAGAGAAAGAACTTTAGGTTCATTAACACTAAAAATTCTGTGTGACTGTGAGAAGGTGACCTGAATACATACCCCACTTCGAACGCTATTGAATTGGTTAATGATATGACGGCAGACAAACCACGTTTGTCTGTACTTGACTTGTCAGACTAAGTCAGGGTTTGCTCCTGGCCATTTTCCATGTAAAAATAAGCACACTCAGCCAACACAAGTGTGAACATCCATGACACCATTCCCTACTAGATGTTTTTAGCTTATAGCTAAAAAAAAAATAATAAAAAAAAAAAAACAGCTGAAAAAACCAGTATCTGTGATAGAGAAAAACCTAGTATCAGCAGGACATACACCCAGTGAGTATCTCATATGATCTACACCCCTGAAATAAACTCGTTGTCTACGCACTTGAGTCTTACATGTTTTCAAGCACTCTGAAACAAAGCTTGATTGCCTTCTGGTTGTTACAAGAAAGAGACTTTAATCCTGCAGCAGCTTCACTTTCAACAGGAGGCAAGATTCTTTCCACCCCCTACCAAATCACACTGTAACATGAGGGTTCATGAATTCTTCATGCAGAGCTGTTACTATGAGTCTGACATGTCATCTATTGCCGTTTTTCTCAGGCACGAGAATTAAACAGTATTTAATACAGCATTATCTAAGAGAACACTTGTTTTACTGACATTTGTTTTATTATAGAGTTATCAGTGGAAAACTGTTACTCTGAAGAGATTCAAAGGAAAGGCAGAGATGTTGTAACATGTAACTATTTCTTTTATTCTAAAGACACCTAGGCTAAGTCATTTAAGCAAAAGCAATAAAAATATTTGCATGCTATCCAATAACTCTGTACATCCACTTAAATATAGCCTGAAAAAACATTCCTGCAGTTAAAATTAATTCCCTTTGTCAAACTTGCGAAACACAGAAAAGTGTCTAAAAGTCCCACCAGAAAACCAGGGCAGTTACTGCTATACCAGCTACTTACCAATTGGATTATCCGTCCAATTTAGATGAAATTCAGATCATGAAAATCAGTGGCTGCTATAAAATCAATGCACTGAGGTAAGGCTGGGTCAAGATTAGTGTCCCAGCATCAAATGCATCAAATTAAACAATATTAATATCCCCAACACTTTAAGAAAGAGGCACTGAAATTCAAACTAATAATAGAAAGTAAAGAGAAAAGTAGTAAGAATAAATAAAAGGTCTACCATCCCGATCTGCCATGCTGTCAAAGAAGAGCCAGGCGGAATCATCCCTCCCATATTTAACAAAAGCTACATAGTGGCTTGTTTCTATGCAGAGAACAGCAAACAACTCCATCTTCTGGTACGGAATGCAGCCGTGTCGCCAGTCCCAGTCTGGCAGGTCTTTAGGTAGTGACAACGGATTGAATTTATGACTCTGTCTCTTGGGATGAAGATGAACCTACAATTGAAGTGATATTTCAGAAGAGAGAAACTACCCCATAAGATTATTTGTTTCAGTGCCAGACAAAGCTAAAAAGAACATTACTGCTGAACTGAAGATTAGTGGCATTAGAGCAGGAGCTGCAGTAACAGTAGCAGACTAAACATTTCTTCTACTTCTCCCCACTACTGTAGTTCAATATTGCCCAGAAAATTCAAATGTAAAGTTAGAAGGGAGGTCAGATTTAATGCAACCATTTTCTAGTCTGCTCAGACTTAAAAACAAGCTATAGCTATGACAGCTTTATGCAAGTTACCAAACAGTTCAAAATTAAGTGATTCTGTCATGAATTTATCAATTGAAACAAGGTACCATATTATACACTTAAATTCTAAACCAACAATAGTATGTGTGCCTTTAACATAGCAGAATAGACCAAACTTCTCTAACTTCTTAACATGTAGAGAGAATGTTCAGCTGATGGGGGAAGAAACATCACAGGACTGGTAACAACTAAGGCGACAATAAATAAGACCAAGGATGCTGGTCTTCAAGATAACAGAGGGGTACCCAACATGGAGTGAGACTGGAACAGGAGAGAAGCAAGGACATACCAACTGTCAACTCAGCACTAGGACCTCACAAGCATGCACAAGCACTGAGGTCATTCAGTAAACACAATGAGGAAGACTATCAGGGACGACCAGAGACCCCCACTCAGAAAGAAAGCACATGCATAGCAAATATTACAATTAGTTCCAGGAAATCTCATGAATATGTCAACAGTTCCCTGGAAAAGCTGTAAATATGCACAAGTATGCTAAATATATAGCTGCTGTTGGCAAGTTTCAGGTGTGCTCACCTTTGCGAAACAATTTGCTTGTGGGCCCAGTGCCGCGATAAAGAATGCTGCTTTCTAAAACTTCAAATTGAGTCTTAGAGAGTTTCTCCAACCAACTTTTACAGTAACAATTTATGTTAAATTATGATTTAAAGCAGGCAACAGTAAACAAGATTCCAATTTGCTTATGATTACCTCTTCACTGTATTCCAGCCTGGATCTGTCAGTTGCCATGTTTTTAGTAAGAAATTATCAGTGAATACATTGCAGGGTCAAGTGGAGTCCCTAATTTTGTCACCTGGTGAGCACAGTCACACTAGTGCTGGTGAGAAAAATCTCACTCCGCTCTTACACCTTTCTTTTAATTATTACAGCATATACCATTTGGGTTAAACCTGCGTAGAGTAACAAAGACAACAACTTACCTGTGTATTGCATGTTTTGCAGAACTGTTTGATTTTCCCAGCAGAAATATCAGTATCTTCGTAACATTCTCTGCACTCATACATAGCGAGCCCTCCACATATGCGGCACTGCCTGGGAGCTGCATTTTAAAAGAAGGTATTAGTCTCCAATTCAGGGAGGCTTTTTTTTGGTTTAAGACCAGGGGTATAGAAAGGAGTGAGAATTATGACTTTAAATTGAAAAAAGCCCACTACATTGAAAAAACAGCTAGAACCAGACTGCAAGTCAAAGCAAAATTGTACTACAGTATTTAACTTTTCTTTGACATAATGTGGAATAAGAGAGTAGGAAATTCCTACTGAGAGTAGGAAATTGCAAAACAGTAAGTTCTATCAACTGCATGAACAAGTGAAAGCAGGCTTTTACATAAAATTAGTTCTCTTTCATCATACTGGTCCAGCTTAGCCCCTAGGTCTGTCAACACCAGGGAAAAAAAATAAAATATCGTAAGCTGATGGCCATGACAGAGATTATTATTCTAAATAATAAAAAATATTATTTTAGAATTCTAATTCTCTTTATTATTTTAGAGATTATAATTTTATTATTTTAGAGATTTTTCTAAAATGTTAGTGGTTTTATGAATTCTTATCTCACATTTAAAAGTGGGTGTCTTAGGTGATGCAATGAAAAAATTCAGTCACAAAAAAGTGATCCAATTTATAGTTTAAAAATGTACCATTGCTAGATGCTGCATATTTACACACTAATCTCAGCTTCTCTTCTTATGGTTTGATGAACTGATGACAAAAAGCTTAGGAACAAGCAGCACAGACTGATGAAGACTAATGAAACATAGTCAACATTGTAAATACCTGTTAACCAATCTCAGTGCTACACTTACTTAGCTTTTAAGATTTCCTACCTGCATATTAACAAATTGTTTTGCTGCTAATAACTCAATTTTAACAACACTGTCTTAAAATAAAAAGTTTAGTTGTAGAGATACTCAAGAATTAAACATAATCAAGTACGTTATATTTTGTAAAGTTATAAACAACATATAAGCAAGTTATATTGTCTGTTCTGAATTACAGCTTTTAACTGACATAAGAAAAAAAATAGCATTCAGCATTCTAGCTAGTAATTGTTCCTTTCCCCTCAGCCTGAGTATCTCACACTACCTGGTTAAATATTTTATTAAAAACCAAACAAATCCCCAAAACTACCAGGTGTACTTACTTTGACTGTGTCAAGTCACTCTCAACAAATCTTTCGTTATACAAACACAATGTTATATACTTACTGTCTTCAAGTAAGTCTGTTATATTTAATTCCAAGGATGGAAAAATTTTGTTGAACATTTTGAAGTCTTTTCCAAACCGAGGCATCTGGATGATCAGGCAAGAAGGTGCCTAGGTAAATTGCCAGAGTATAATGTAACAAGCTTGAGATAGACAAATATCTAAATTTAGAGAGATACATCTAACACAATAAGCATTCATGTTATTTAAAACTTGCAGGCTGTTGACTTCAAAATCAACAAGAGGGTAAGCAAACGAGAAGTCTGAGTGAAAAAAAATTAAATATAGGTTATATAAAAGCTTATATAAAGCTTATATAAAATATAGCTTTTTAGCTTACAGCTAAAAAGCAAAACAAAACAAACAACAGGAAAGCGGCATCTAAACCATTGTCAAATATCGTTACATCCCAGGCACACTCAAGTAGGATAGTAAATGTACTGCACTACACTCCCCCATGGCATGGGTAAATCTTGCTTTATAAAGCTTTTTACCATGTAGCTCAAAATACTAGTTCTTAAAGCAACTTACTGGCGGCAATTAAGTTTTCTTTTAGTAATTCTTTACCTAAATTACTTTGGTATTTTCAGCCAAAGGATACATGTCATTAAGGCAATCTTAAAATATTTCTGTAACATAGGCAACCTTTACCACTGACGTAGCCCTCCCTTTGCAAATATGCCTGCACTTTGTTGTCACACCAAAATTCCACTCTTATTCCATTGCTGAATGAGCAAACATCCAAGTATCAACACTAACTGAGCAACAGCTGTCACCTACCTCTGCAAACTTCAAGTTGCTGTTGATGAATGACCACTCTAGTAACTGCTGAATTGTTGGGACTCCGACTTTCTCATTTTTGTCCATAAAAATCTGATAGAAGTAACAGTCTTGTACTTTCTGACCTGCTGATCTAAAAACAAATTAAAAGAAAACAGATTTAGAAGCTTTACTGCAACAATGACTCTATTTTCCTAGTAAAATAACATCTACCAGAAAATAGTCTATACAACATCCTCTCTGCGTTGAAATAGATTCTTTCAAAAGCAATCCTAATACACAAAAAATCCCCAAGCAAATACACCACTCCCCCACAGCCCTCCTTCCCCCAGCCAAAAAAAAAAAAAGAAAAAACAAGAACCACAAGCCCTCAACATTTTATACTGACAGAGAGTGGGGCAAAAGATTAAGCTACCAATTTAAATAAGCTTCGAGGTCAGATGTTTCAAAACAAAGTAGAAATTCAGTACTTAAATTTTCAGGTTATTTTTCTCTAACATAAATGTAAATCTGCAACACTTGGGAAGAGAGATTCAGATGAGTAATACAACCCACTCTGGAAGGGCATAAGAAAGTACACAGAAGACTCTGCTCACATTGTAGGAATGGATTTTGCTATCATGGACAAAAAGCACACAGGAGAAACCAATATCAAAAGAAAGAAGTTAGGTAGGAGTTGTTTCACCCCAATGTCAATGTTCCTGGGAACATTCATCACATTTGCTAAAAATGGTAACTTCCTCCCATCCCAGCTAACATTTAAGACAACACTGCTTTTCAGAATACTCAGGTGTTGAGAGGATTCTAGCAGTATGATGCACTCAGAGTCACTATTATTAATTTTAAGCCTACTTTTAAGAAGGAGACTACTGAATTACTCTTTAAGAGTTAAGGTAAGTACACAACACACACCATTTTCAGTGCTAAAAGCTGAATGGTGGAACCTAACTTCTGTTCCACTCTGTGTAGCACAGACATGACAAAAACCTCAAAGGCCAAGGTTTACAAAAGAGGGTTAAAGAAACATTGAGGAAATGTACAAGTGGAGTAAGAGGCATTTGCTTTTACTTTACTCATTTCAGCTGTGATTTAGAATCATAGAATGATAGAATAGTTAGGGTTGGAAAGGACCTTAAGATCATCTAGTTCCAAACCCCCTGCCATGGGCAGGGACACCTCACACTAAACCATATCACCCAAGGCTCTGTCCAACCTGGTCTTGAACACTGCCAGGGATGGAGCATTCACAACCTCCCTGGGCAACCCATTCCAGTGCCTCACCACCCTTACAGTAAAGAACTTCCTTATATCCAATCCAAACTTCTCCTGTTTAAGTTTTAACCCATTGCCCCTTGTCCTGTCGCTATAGTCCCTAATGAAGAGTCCCTCCCCAGCATCCCTATAGCCACCCTTCAGATACTGGAAGGCTGCTATGAGGTCTCCACACAGCCTTCTCTTCTCCAGGCTGAACAGCCCCAACTTTCTCAGCCTGTCTTCATACAGGAGGTGCTCCAGTCCCCTGATCATCCTCGTGGCCCTGCTCTGGACTTGTTCCAACAGTTCCATGTCCTTTCTATGTTGAGGACACCAGAACTCCACACAATACTCCAGGTGAGGTTTCACAAGAGCAGAGTAGAGGGGCAGGATCACCTCCTTCGACCTGCTAGTCACGCTCCTTTTGATGCAGCCCAGGATACGGTTGGCTTTCTGGGCTGGGAGCGCACACTGAAGCCGGCTCATGTTCATTTTCTCATCGACCAGCACTCCCAAGTCCTTCTCTGCAGGGCTGCTCTGAATCTCTTCTCTGCCCAACCTGGAGCTGTGCCTGGGATTGCTCCCACCCAGGTGCAGGACCTTTTACTTGTCATGGTTAAGCTTTATGAGGTTGGCATCAGCCCACCTCACAAGCATGTCGAGGTCCCTCTGGATGGCATTCCTTCCCTCCAGTGTATCAACCAAACCACACAGCTTGGTGTCATTGGCAAACTTGCTGAGGGCGCACTCAATCCCACTGTCCATGTCACCAACAAAGATGCTGAACAAGACCGGTCCCAACACCGATCCCTGGGTGAGGGACACCACTTGTTACTGCTCTCCAGCCAGACATTGAGCCATTGACCACAACTCTTTGCATGTGCCCATCCAGCCAGTTCTTTATCCACCGAGTGGTCCATCCATCAAATTGATGTCTCTCCAATTTAGAGACAAGGGTGTCATGTGGGACAGTGTCAAACACTTTGCACAAGTCCAGGTAGATGACATCAACTGCTCTATCCCTGTCCATCAGTTCTGTAGCCCCATCATAGAAGGCCACCAAATTGGTCAGGCAGGATTTCCCCTTAGTGAAGCCATGCTGGCTGTCACCAAGCACCTTGTTGTTTTTCATGTGCCTTAGCATGCCTTCCAGGAGAATCTGCTCCAAGATTTTGCCTGGCACAGTGGTGAGACTGACTGGTCTGTAATTCCCTGGGTCATCCATTTTCCCCTGCTTGAAAATGGGGGTTATATTTCCCTTTTCCCAGTCTTCACGAACTTCACCTGACTGCCCAGATTTCTTAAATATGATGAAGCTTAGCAGCTTCATTCACCAGCTCCTTCAGGACCCGTGGATGGATTTCATCAGGTCCCATGGATTTGTGTATGTTCAGGTTTTTCAGATGGTCTCGAACCAGATCCTCTCCTACAGTTCGCACAGTCTCTGCATCTACCTTCCAAGACTTGGGTGGTGTGGTCAGAGCCTTTGCCAGTGAAGACTGAGGCAAAGAAGTCACTAAGAACCTCAGCCTTCTCCAAATGCACAGCAGCACATCTGTTAACTACCAAAAACTAGAAATACATTCTCACATGAAGACCTATTATTCTAATTATATTAATAATAAAAACCATTATTATAATTATACTATGGTACCTCAGCTGTTTCACCAAAATAATACATAAGCCACAGGGGTTTCTCAGAATGTATTTCATAGAATTGAAAGAGGCAGTAGTAACTGTGAGGGCAAGCTGTTCTCTGAACACTTCTTTATATAAACCAAATATGTACTTGAAGTTACTAGTTTTTGTGGTTTGTGGTGTTTTTTTGGTGTTTGTTGTTTTTTTTTTTTACCTAACAGGAACACAGCTCCAAATTCACATCTATATGCCTTGATCACTCATCCTTTCCAATTCTTTTTAAGATTTGCCTACAGAACCACCACAGAAGGTAGCCTCAGTACTCTCACATGTCATCTACACAGTGAACTACAGCACACTGCATACTGATCCTGTAGCCAGTGCCATAGGTCCCGTATCTCTGCACACTACAACAGACAGTGGGCACTTACCTCACACTGCTGAGCTAAAGCAACATATAAACTAATATAATTCCTGTGATGAGGAAAGGACTGAAAAACTATGGACACTGGGGCAAACCCCACCTGCCAAAAAAGGTAGATGTCAAATTTGTCAATAGAACTTTATTATATTGAATCCTATTAGAAATATGAATCATAATGGTGCTCTAAGAGCTCAACTGGAAAGGCAGCAGATAGATAGTCTCTCACCAGCCTCTACAAATAGACAAGTTCAACAAACAGAAAAAGACTCACCTTATTTTCAACAGTGGCTCAACTCTTAAAATATGGTGAAATAAAATATTCAAAAATTCTTCTGGATCTGCAGGAAGAGGGAGAAAAAAAAATCCTGTTAGTACGCAAAACCAGATACATTATTCAAGACTGATTTTAAATATGCGTTTCCAAAATTTTAATAGGAACAGAAGTCAAGGTTCATTTTTACAGCTTTATTAACACTAGTAAGACGACAACCTACGAAGACTTTCATGACACAAAACTATTTAATCTTTTGGTGTCAAACAGTCCTAATAAAAGACACAGGCTCAACAGGGTAAAAAAACCATTTCCAGTAAAGATCAGAAAGATGCTCTCTACTTCAGGGGAATCATTTGGCATCACGCAACTGTTTGAGGAGAAATAAAACCTTTTAAAGAAAACAATGAAACTGCAGTGAAGCGGTGAGGAGCGGTGACAGTAACACACAAAAACCACAAAACAGCATGAAGTTCATCTAAACTAGAGACTGAATTTCCCAATCAAGAATGCAGCCAAGAGTGGCTTCCCAGAGATCTATTCTCCCCAAACACTTGAGAGTTTTCCGATGTATTTCTCTTCCTGCCACTAACTAATAAATACTGGTTTTCAGCATTTAACATTTACAAAGAAAGTAGTGTTCTCCCCCATAAAAAAAAAATTAAACAGCTATATAATACAACACTAGTTAATCATTATATGCAGCAAAAGATCAAAAGGTTGGGAATTTATTTTTCTAACATGATTTACACATTTTATTTCTTAATATACTACATAACCATTATGACAATGAAATGTTGTAGTGTAAAGATTATTCCTCAGGGACCAAAGGGACATTTTGAAAGAGGAGAAAGACCTCAGCTTTATTACAATCTTTATTTCTGAGAAAAAGCCTTAGATCTCCCCTCACTGCTAGAAGGCAGGGAAAGAAATCCAGTCTTTTGCTGACTTATAGCAGAAACTGTTCAGCTAGGGCTCGTCACATATTAAGGAAACAGAAGAGTCCTTTTTACCACCCAATGGTCACTCAGATCTCTGGTGGAGATAATACTGCTACAGAGACATATATGTGTGGTTCAAAGAAAGAAAAACAACCTTATTTACCTTTTTCCTCTGAAGTGAATCCTGATGCAGCTTCAACTTTTTCAAGTATTTTCCTCAGTTTCATTATTTTTGTAGCACATACATATCCGTATCTAAGATAAATCGGTTTAATAAGCTATTAGCTAGTTTGTGATCAAGTCAAAGAAGGAGAAAAAACCTCTTAAATGCTGAAATACAGGTCTCAGATCCCTCTTTACCTGTGTACAATGTTGCTTCAGAACTATGACTGACTCCCGGTTTTTTCAATGCAGTATAATTTCAGTGAAGGGCTTAATGTCCTTACATAACCTTTAAGACGTCTTTTTAAACATTAACTTACCAGGGTATCTGTTTTCTGATCTGTCAGTCAGTTACTTTTGATTTGTTTTCACTCTATTTGCATCAGTTAATACATTTTCAGAATGTCACATAACAGCACTGTGGGCGTTGTTAACAAAAATATTTCAGTATTTGAGAAAAAAAGATACAGAAGCTGAAGTTTTCAGCATTCAACCTTTTCCTCTAAAACTTTACAAGAAGTGCAAATAAAGACTTGGTGGAAAGGGAGGAGACGTAACACTTTCAGTCTTCTCAGCCACTTTTTCTGCTGACCAGGGTATATCCTACCCTCTATACCAGAAAACCCTGGAAAACACCAGGCAAAGTACACACACCTGTATAAGAACAAGGATTCAGAAGCTGTCATTTTATTCCAGGAATCCAAAGAAAAATTTTGTAATAAATTGTTCAGTGACTGCCCACAGAATTTCAGAACTACATGTTTAAAAAATAAAGTTATACACAAATAACTTTTCATCCAGATTTTTGCCGTATTTCCTTTGTTTATTGTGCCTAAGAAATTACAAAGCTCATGTTAAGTTGTTTAAATGTCTTTTGACTTCTTGCGGACTACATATAGGAACTAACAAAACTTTAAAAGTCCCAACAAATCTATCAAATTGCGAAACTCCACATAAGATAATTCAAGTACTCTTCTTGTCAGCAACAGCATTAAAAACACATAAATATGAACACTATGAATACATATATTCTGCATTTATCAATGCAAATTTTACATTAGCTTTATGCTGATCAATTTCCAGAGACCAGTGAAAATATTTTATCAGCAAACAATGAATAACTATTTCCAGCTAGCACTGCTTAAATTTAGCATGCTGAATAAGTAAAAATACTCAGTCCAACCAACGGAAAAGACTGGCAGCAGCAGCTAGCTAAATTCTTTAGATTTGCAATAGGAATGCATACAAAGAATCTGGTGTAAAATTTTATATTAGACCAGAAACAAATTAATGTCTTTACTCACATTCTCAGAGGATTCACGATCTCTGTCCTCAACAGCTCTTGGGTCTCACTATAATACTCTACATCATTCTTTTCTTTAGGTCTGAGTAACACAGTGTCCAAAACAGAGCTAAAAGAAAACAGGCTAGGAAGAAAAAAAGAAAAGGAAGGTTGTTTTGATTCTGGAAGATACAACCACTCAGATGCCTGAGCAATGTAAGACAAACCAAGCAAAGCCACAGGAAGAATTAATAGAACTAAATAAACTAAGAAAGATATAATTAAGGACAGAGGACAACACAGCTGTACTAAATAGGAAAAGACCACTCTAATCCAGTGTCCTTTCTACAGCAGAGTACAAAAGCAGTTGCCCAGGATTCTGCAAATATAAGAGATTATTTCCCTCCCTCCACCACCCAGCCTGTGCACGCTCATCCTTCTGTGCACGTGCATCCTTCAAAAATTATCAGGCCAGGGATTCAGTCAAAAGAGTATGAACACATAAGGGCCAGAACAATTTGGACATGATTAGCACTTGTGTTCTGCTGCAAATGCTGCAGAAGCTCTTCAGATTGGAAGAGCACAGTAATGTGTCAAAGGTTGCAGTGCATGACTTTGTAGGCTACGCAGCAATACAGACAGACAGTCATTACAACAAAGATCACACATTGTGCATTTGTAGCATGGGATGCCACTATACAAATTATGAACTTACCAGAATAAGGTGGAGTCTAAGTAACAGGAGTTGTAATGACCCTGGATACCTTTCTTCTTTCCAATCATTGTCTCTAAACCTTCTTTTTCCATTTTTGGAGGAGTGTTTTCTTCTACCACTTCACTTAAGTAACCTCCAAAGGCTGAAAGTTTTTTTTTCAAAAAACACTTTAAAGCCTCAAATTTTATCCTCCTTGAGATTTTCCTATTAATGTTTTATAGCTAAGTTGCTGCCTTAGTGTGTAAGCATTCCTTCTCTGGACTAGCATAGCATTTTATTATAGCTGAGACTCACAGCTTCCAGACAGTGAACAAGGCTTTACATTCCACTGACAATGCACATTAGAGTGCTTCAGAAAGCCTGGAGCACTGAATTAATTTTACCCAGTAGGAATGAAGTTCTCTTCTCATTATACATGCCCTGCTCTATCTTACAAGTATCAGACACTTGTTTCTTTGCTTTTGTCTCAGGCTATAAAACATGACCCAAGAAATCTCAAATACTTGAAGTCAGGAAAAAAACCTGAGTTTTTTACTAACTTCTACCATTCAAATACATGCTTTTCTATGCTAAGATTTAGGAAAACACTAATCTGACATTACAGAAAAAGATTATTATAACTATCTTAATTTCTGATAATGCAGTCAACTATCTCTAGCATTGCAAATACCACTTTCAGCAAGATTGCTTTGAAACTGCTAAAGATTTACAGCATAACACAAAAAAACCCTCAATTTTATGAATTTCTTTAACTATATGAACAATTTCATGCTTTAAAAGATAATGCATAGAAGAGTTATGCTCTGTACAGACTGATAATCTAATTATTTATCTCATTTATGTAATACCTGTACAGATTTTCAAGTGTTCCATACAAATAACATATTGCAGAAATAAATTAAACCAAACCCCAGGTCAGTTCCCAGCTGATAAGTAAGTAGAAGCTCAGTACCTAGAGAGTTGCAGCGTTCAATCTGGTTGGAAACTGGCTGTAGTGAGGCAAACCTGGAATCTGGCCTGCAGCTTTTGAGTTTAACAAAAAGAGCTTTCTTCGGAGCACACGTGAAGTATCGAGTTCCCTTAAATGTGCCGTCCGTGCAACCTGCACATTCATCTTCCTGAAAATTCAAGTGAGAATTCACTATGTTTCTTATTTCTAGAATTCTGGAGTAAAACATTTGACAGTATCTCTACCCATAGATCACCCTTCAGATACTCTAAAACTTGATATACAATGTTCTTGAATTTTAGCATACAAAGCTCCAGCTGAGGTAGTCTTTAACTGGATTTATTGAGAAAATTAAGAGTCTCATTTTTTTTTCCTTCATGCTTAAACTTTCACTCCGTCCAAAATAAAAATTCCATCAGAAGCAGCTTGGGGGAGGTAGGAGAGCAAGAATCAAACCTGTCAATATTAGGAACTTAACTAAGCTAGCCAGTAACTCCAGATACCTTCTGTAGTTAGAAAAAGCACACATCCACTACCAAGCATCTTTTAAAACGGTATTAAAATCACTAAGCACTAGATAGTGTGAATACTTCCAGGGTGACTGTCACCTACACAGAAAAAAATACCTTCTGTGTGCAGAACACACAAAATGTAATCAAGGAAAGACACACAAACTAGGTATGAAAAATAACAAGTTTTCATTAGTGATTTTTGACAACAAGAATTAAGGTATACTGTCTGCTTACTAACAACTGCTAAGTTTTAACATAGAAATGCCTGATGGGCAAGTCCAAGACCCTAGTTCAACACAAGGCACTCTAAGATGCAGCCTCAGAACACTTGTGGCAAATGGTAGCTTGAGCTTCACAAAAAAAAAAAAAAAACAAAAAAACCCAAGCTGAAATTCCAGTCACATTCTCACCTACTTTGCTAAAGATATCTGTTGTTTTACATAATTGTACCCTGCTCTGAAATGTTACTGAACATGACGCCAAAATAAAGAACCACATCTCCCTAACTGCATACACACTTACTTAGCTGATAGCCACTCACAACCTTGGCAGCAGCTGCCAAAGACCAAATGTCAGCACATAGCAGCAATTCACGGTTGCAGCAACTGTGAATTTACAAAGGGCCCACAAAACACACCAAGCACATGGCTGTTAAATTAACAGCATCACAACTAGCAATTATCAGAACTAGTGTTCTCTCTGACAGTCGTGGCTCTAACCACTGCCCGTTTGCTGGTATGCAAAAAATAAAACACACAATTGATATTCAATAAAGACTCTCACAGTCAGGGCATTTTATGTAAACCTGCATTTTAACTTTTCTCAATTAATATCTCCATAACATAAGCAAAGGGCACTCATTTAAAAGTAAGCGAACAGCCCTAGAAATTCCATTACCCATTGTGACACATATCTCAGGGCCTACCAACAGAGTAAGGTCTAGGCCAGCTACAGAAGTCAGAACTCATTTAAGAATTTAGCTGCTCTATAAAGAGATCACATGGCAACCTGTTTGACCAAATTCCTCCAGACTGACTGCTTTGCAAAGCATACAGGCACCAACTCTCAGAAACAGAGCTAACATTAATATGAACTACAATTTATATTTACCAGTTCCAGTCCAGCTAATACTTCATTTACTCCAGGGGGCTGGCCAATCCATCGGATTACTCCATAGAAAGGAGGATTTTCTTTAACTTCAGCCAAGGAACCTGCTTCAAGACCATGCGAGTTCCCAACTGGGTCTGCTGATGATGGACTCTCCTGGTTTGCTGTAGTATTTACATCACCAATGACAGACTGAACAGATAAAGAGAGAGGACTATGTCCAATAGTAGTACCAGTACCATTAGCACTTGATGTTTTTGTCAAGCTGAAAGGGAGGGAGTGAAATCTGTTTTCTGTAGACACAGAGTTCGTTAAAGGTGGCTGCAGTGGTGGTGAAGAATGTCCAAATCCAGGAGATGAATCACTAAGTGATTTTGCTGGGTCTTCAGCAGCTGTTAAAATCAAAACCAGGATATCAGTTAATATTGGTATGGTTTTTTTCTTCCCATTTTAAGAAAGGAAATACTTAGCTATCAAACCAATGAAGTGCATCTGCAAGCACATCAGATTTAATGGGTGCCCTGTGTAGGAAGCACTAACAGGTGGGAACATGTAGGAAGATGTTTGTCACTTGGCAACACTGGGGAGACAAAACTGGCTGAACAGACACTGCTGAAATACCACCACTTTTACCACAAACAACAGAAACAACAGAAAGGAGATGTTAGCCAGAAACTACAAGAAGGTTTAGACTGAAAACATTGGTTTTTTTAAGTCCTTTAGCCCCACATCAGATTTTTTTTCTCTGAATTCAAGTTAACAGCCCCAAGGATTATGACTGTAATGGACATATGGAGAAATCATTGGTCAGTGCGACTGAGGAAAGGATGTGGTTCTCAGCTCACACAGAGATGTGTAATTGCTTGCAGACATGATCTGCAAATGCAAAAATGTTTACTGCCCTTGCTCCATCACAATATACTTTGGTTCTAACATAAAGAATCTATCAGGGTCTATAAAGAATGAAGGATTTCAATGAGTAATGATTAATGCAGAGCGTGATAAATAAGATCACAACTAGGTGTAACAGCACAAGTGTTCTGTATCTTCTCTCATCTCTCTACATGGCCTCAATATACAACTGGTATTCACAGAGCAAAAGCTTCTTCTTCGCATCTCTTCTCCCCATGCTGTTTTATTAACTGAAGTTAATGTCCAAAAATTTTAATCCTTTACTTCCACAGTCCTTTCTACATAGGATATTTTCCTTGTTTATTTTAAATATTATAATAAACTACTTTTTAAACAGAGTTACAAACTGTTGGAACAACATCTTCAAAGAACAATTTGAATTTGCTTTTACAGTTCATGGAATTCAGGGACTACTACTGCTATAGGCTTCCATTGTAAAATAACATTAGTATTTACCTCTTCAGTCACTACCCAGCCAGCCACACTTCAGACAAATCAAGATATACTGATCCTTTAGGTATGTGCACTCATACTTGGAAGAATTCAGAGAGAGATTTTATAACATAACCTCAAAAAATACTGTAAAAAATTTATGTGCTTATTCAGATTAATTACACCCCCAACCCCAGACTGATTAGCTGGCATGGCAGAATATTAGAGTTCCTTTAGGCCTATAATATTAGTTACAAAAAGACAGACAAAATAAAATTACTGTATACACTTGGCTGCAAGGAATATCTTCGTATCTTCCTTCCAAGACTCAGCTTTTATTTTGCCTGCAAGACGTGTATTCCTACGGAGCTGCGCACACACTGCCAAGAATGCAGTCTCCTATATGCAGGATAAAACCACAGGTCTGCCAATTAAGGCAGAGTATGTTTCCGTGGAGGTTCCAAGATGCTTTTTAGGATACAGTATATCTTCCACTAAGACAATATATTCCAACTGCTTTAAATTTAAACTCATACTTGTTTTATTTGAAAAACATCAGCACACTCTAGTTGTGTTTCGTTTTTTAAATAAACTGTATGCCTACATCAAAGACTATAATCTCTCTTTACCTTCATCAATATACCATGGGGGTTTTGCTTTTGTTTGAGGCTGAGAGTCAACCGATGAGCCATTTAACGTGTAGAAGGCTTCAGATCTGTTTCTTTTTCCAGTTTCAGAGGTAGATCCTGGAAAACAACATAAAGAGATTAATCTCCATCTATAAAAGGTTAGCTACACTCTTATTTCATAATATAAATTTGTTACTATACTTTCAAGAGGACAAAACTGCCTTTGCACAAAGCAGCAAACTCTCCCCATCAAAGCTAACACAGATCTAAGTTTGCTACAAGGTAACAGTTTATCCCAAACCGACTTAATCCTCCAAACTAAAATTTCAAGTCACCAACCTGATGGCAGCAGAATATACCCCACAAGTGCCAGTTTTTCATTGCTGTAAGTTACGGATATAAGAAAGTATTTGAGATACAGCATACAGCATGTACGTTTGGTTTTTAAAGCAACAAAAAAAAAAAAAAAAAAAAAAAATCAGAGTAGGCAGATGAATTACGGATCCAATTCCACACAGCTATGACTTGGGCCAACATAAAACCACAGTTACTTGACTGAAGACCATTTCTGTCAACATCCAGTGCCAGGCGGAATGAAAGCTTACAGGATATACCGTCATTAGTATTCTACAACCCAAACCACACACTAGTAAACTCAGAACATTGATTTTTGATTTCTGCCTTTTTAAAATTAAACAGTTTCCCTTACAGGTTTTGGTTTGGGGTTTTTTGGTTGGCTGGTTGGATTTTTTTTGTTCGTTTTGTTTTGTTCTTTCCCCTGACAGATTTTCCCTAGAAGGATTCTTCCCCTGGAAGAGCTGGCCAAAACCAGAGTAAGAAGAAGTTTATTCAAGACTTCAATCTTGGTTTTGAATTGCAGCAAAATTAACTATTTACTATCGAGTAGATCTGCTCCTGGGCTAAAAATTTGGCCATTTCTAGTCCTGCAGAAGGAAGACTATATTTATTAAAAAATAAAATAAAAACCAAAACAAACAGCCACACTTTCAGAAAACAGAATACAGCTCTGAAATGGTTATAACAGACAACAAGCTAATATGCTCCTAAAGTTTTGCTAAACCTCAAGCTGTTTTTCATGAAAGTGAAGGTGTTTTGAGCAGGCTTAACTTCAATCACCTACATTATTATGATAAAGTAAATTCACACTAATATTCTGCTTCAGAGAAATTTACCTTGATATGTCACTGAAATAATAAATGAAGTGATCAAAAATATAAGGCAACACTCTTCCCCGAACAACAGAAATTTATAAAGAAAATGACTTCCTATACATACCGGTAGACTTTGGCTTACTATGATTGAACAAGCTTTTGTCACCACCACCTCTTGAGGTGTAAGCAAGCTTGGGAGGTCTCCTGTCCTGTGACACAGTCTCTACGACACAGTATAAAGAGAATATTAGATTCCCTTTTCTAGGCTTTCACTATGTTAGAGAGAAGTTCAGCTTCAAATGTAACTGAACCAAGGTCTAGCATCGCAAGTTTTAAAACTGAATGGAGCAAAACCTTGTTTGGCTCATAACCAACATTTTATATATATATGATTTGCTACTACCACATCGGCAATTACTTTACTCTGAAGTCTTCCACTATTTCTTGAACATACCAAATATATCGAAGAATGTAAAATCAATCTACGTGCATGCTTCCATTATGGGAACAGACGCATGAATTCCTAATCTTTGTTTTCTACCAACACATCTGCAACAAATGCTCTTTCCCAAAATAGAGAAGATCCCATGAATTCTCCAAAGAAGGGGAGAATTCATGCAAAAACATGCATCCCAACTAAACCAACAAGTAGGAAGTGAACATAGGAGAAATCAGCCAAATTGAAAAGAAGGGGAAACAGTTAAGATTACAGGCTGTACAAGACCACGCAACTCAGACGAGGATCAGGGGACTGTGGTGGTTACAAGTTAACATTATTCAGTGAGTTATTGTGGATAGTGAAACTTTCCACAGTTTTGTTAGGAATTTTCAAGTATTTACTTGCAGAATGCATAAGTAATACTATCAATAATTCTATCAATATATTCCATGTGCAGAAAGAACAGCTTTCTGATCCAGGATACTTAAACTCCTGGAGTAAACTGAACAACATTAAAAGAATAGATTCCTGCTACAGACACTTACATATTCATTATTCTTACATAACTCTAAATAACACATTATTTGACATTAATTTTGTTCAATATTAAACCTTTTCTAATATTGAGAGTGAAACAAAAAGGAGGAGGAAACTGAAAAGAAGCATAACACAGAAGGTGAAGCTAATTCGAGTGAATTTAGGATATTAATACTGCCGTACTGTTTTAATCATGTAACTTTGCCTGGGTTGAGATGTTATCAAAGCTTGCCTTCTGGTTAAGAAAGTAAAGCGTACCTGGAATAACATCATTGATATGCAAAAGAAGTGTACTTTCAACACTTGCAAAACTGCACAGCTGTATTCCATTATATCTTCCATCCCAGTTTCCGATAGGATTATCCTAAAAGTAGAAAGACACGTTACACATATCCCAAGAGAAGATTTACAGCATACAAAATACACATATGTCTTTAAAAATGTAAAAAGTGAAAAGATAAAATGTTTTACACTTGCTTTTTCCTGTAACTTTGTATTTGAAATATTCAAACATTACAGCCTTCAAAGATGAACATGAACTTAAAAACTGTTCTTCTGAAAAATATTTCTTATGTTAACAAGCATTCTTCTACTAAAATTCATTATTTGTAAACAAGTTAGAACTCCTGTGCATTGTTAGGCAATGGCTACTGCAACCAAGACAACGGAGGCACCCAATGATTTTGAAAAACAAAACACCCTTTAACTATCAAAAATCTGAAAGCTGTTCATTTAAAAAAGAAAAAAAATCAAATTGCTAGAAATAACTTTTAATGGCAAGCTTCACATTTTCTTGAAAGATCAACTTTTGTACTTAAAACTCAGTATTTTTAAGACAGGACAAAATCAAACAAACCAAGGTTACATGAAAAACAAGCTCTTACAAACAGCTCACAAAGGCATTCAGCTTACTGTTTCAAAAGGCAGAACAAACCCAGTCTCACAAGACAAACACTCAACTTCATTACAGTAAGACCGACATTTACCATTACAAGTAGCTCAGTGGAGGCTCCTCAGAGTAACCAGAGTATTTCTCCTGAACTGTTTAGAATCAAATAGGATATCATCTACCTGATGCCAAAATACAATCACCGCCAAGGGGCATATTTGAACACAAGTGTTTATTTCCCATTTTAGGTCAGCCTCCGCTGAAGTAGCTTGTGGATAATGTTTCTTCTATATTGCATGTAATTTATTTGCTAATACACATGCAAAAGATATTAAAATCAGATTATTTTCTTACCATGTCCACTCCAACAACGTATCCTAAACTCTCGTTTCCTGGTAAGACATCACAGAATATAACTGTCCCATACTCTATACTCTCTCCTATCTTCAGAGAAACCCTGGAGTTGATCTCCAGAGGAGGAAGTTCTACCTGCATTGCTTCAACAGGAGCTGCATAGTCACTTTCCAGTTCATTGTCATCATCTTCCACCAGCTCCAGTTTGTCCAAAGCAACAAAAACCCCACAATCCTCATCGCATCTGAAAAGCTGCTTGCCTTGGTACTGGCCATCAGTAAAGCCCTGACCACGACCTTCTTCCTAAGTGTTGGAGGAAGAGGCAGAGATGGGAAAGGAAGGCAGGGAAAAAAAAAAGAAAAAGCAGCAGTGTATTTTGTGCAGAAGCAGATTACCACAAAAGCTGTAACATAATGCAGTGCTCTGAAGAAACTGCAATTAGAATTGGGCTGGTGAACTACCATTATATTCATTATATTTCAGAAATGTGTTGCTGGAATTTGTGGCAAACATACGCTCTATCTTAGGAGAATAAACAGTAAGATGCTGTTTGACTGGAGAGTAGCTGCCAGCAAAAGCCTTTTTATTTGGAGAAGCATGTTTTCTTCAGGCGCAAATCTTGCTTCCATCATCAAATTTTCGCCACATCAAGACAAGACTAATTTGTATTAGACATAATGCTAAGCTTTCAAAAGTCCTACTTAGACACCAAATAAAAACAGAGAATTTTCAGAGCCACTTGGCCCTGATATTCCCAGACATTTAGAGGGAAATGCAAAGAATCTGGGGGAAGTTTAAAGAAGACTTTGAAAAACATACTTCCAATGCCACAATGGCACCCTCTTGAATCTAACCCTTCAAAAGCTTTTGTCCAACATTAATTTTGCAGATTTATCTCACTAGGCACACAACAGCAAAATCCTCTATCTTAACTAGTTGACATTTGACTTTTAGAGCTCTACAGAACTGGCAACCCTGAAATCCAAGCCTGCATTTATGGACTGTATCCTGCCATGTGCTGGGAAAAACAAAGTACTCAAGAAAAATCTGACAGATATTTGCCTCAGTAGGGATGTAAGTAATTTAATTTTCCTAGGCTGGAAGAGTCCGAGTACATTTTTTTTGCCAGCCTACACACCTCATCAAGATTTACTTAACATGTAGAATACACAGCAGGTGTGACAGGGTGTGTTCATAAGTATTGTTATTAAATACCTGTGGAAAGACTGAAGATTACAGAATTTTTAGGGGTAGTGATGCTTCCAGAAAAGAAAATTGTTATGACTGCCTCTTTAAATAGAAGAGTTTTAACTCATCTTATAAAATATGCATGACGCTTCCCCTTAGCAAGAAACTTACCAGTAACTCTACTCCAAAGTATATCCCTGTTAGGGACCTTTCTTGCATCAAGGGTCCTCTGAAACGAACAACTCCAGGAAATTTCTCATCTCCTGATCTCAGCTGTACTCTAACAGGTGAGCCAATATCTATTTGGATGCCTTTAGTTAACCTGCTTTTGCTTTTAAACAGACTGTATCTTTCCTCACAGTTAGTAATAGCCAAAAGCAACTCAGCTAGTTTTTCACTTATTTCTATAATATCTTTCTCATCCACAAGCAGGACTGCATGAGGTTGCTCCAGAATCTTTAATCCAATCTGCAGTTTCTTGCCTTTACAAGGAATATTTCTGGAGTGTCCCACAGAAGAACGGTCTTGAAAAAACTGCCCAATGCTACCTCTTGGTACTTTCAGGAGCTTCTGCGTCTGCTTGTCCAAGACACTGCATTCCTGGAGAAGCAAGTAAAAGATCCGCTCTTCCCAATAGGATGAACCTCCTTTTTCTTGACTCCATAAGCCAGAATTCATTGTGATTAAAACTTTGTAAGCTGCATAGAAGTCTTCAATAAAAATAAGCTGTTTACGTGCATGTATCTTCACAAATTCTAAGGGAGGGTCCAACCTCTGTGAAATAATGCAACATTCATTTTACAAGGAACCAAATTCAGAGCAGAAAGCCTAGAATGAGAGAGGGAAAAAAAAAAAGGAAAAGAAAAAAAGGCAAAATGAAACTGAGGACCTACATACTCTTGAGTAAAAGAAAGAAAAGAAGGAAAAAAAAAACCCACCAATCAGAAAAGCCCCTAAATCTATGACCAGCCCCACTCCCTCTACAGATAAAAATAGTTCAACAAAATCTTAAGACACTGAACAGTCTCGAAACAGCCACAGCACTTTTGATCAGACATACCCATTTCTACTTGTAATCGCTGTGTATTTCCTTTCCTCCTCTAGATCCTTGAAGCAAACAGCTAGAGGAAAAGCATAATGAGATGCAGAGAACACGCGTAAGTAAAAGGGAAACGAAAACTTAATTTCAGATGAGCAGTAAGAAATATTCTGCTTGAGTTTAAAAACAATACTTTATGGAAGCCTTCTTCTATGAAGATCTTTTCCTGTGATTAGCAACAACCTATTTTTGAGGAAGTGTACTGCATCTGTCATCACAGGTAACATTATGATTCAGTAAAGTACAAAATTGTGTCAATGTAACAGAACAACAGAAAATGGACACTTCAGTACTCCATAACAGCCATTTCTTTAGATAATGGAAATTGACTGTTCCAGTAAGCCATAAACAATGTATGACAAGAAAATTGCACCAGTATTGCAACATGTAATTCTGAAGAAAAACCTGAAGACTTTTCTTTCAGTCATTTTAGAAAGATGACTCACTTTAACAAAGTAGAAGGAAATATATCAGTTAATAAAATACGTGCTGGTCGATGAGAAAATGAACACGAGCTGGCTTCAGCGTGCACTAGCAGCCCAGAAAGCCAATCGTACCCTGGGCTGCATCAAAAGGAGCATGACCAGCAGGTCAAAGGAGGTGATCCTGCCCCTCTACTCTGCTCTTGTGAGATCTCACTTGAAGTACTGTGTGCAGTTCTGGTGTCCTCAACATAGAAAGGACATGGAACTGTTGGAACAAGTCCAGAAGAGGGCCACGAGGATGATCAGGGGACTGGAGCACCTCCCATATGAAGACGGGCTGAGAAAGATGGGGCTGTTCAGCCTGGAGAAGAGAAGGCTGCGTGGAGACCTCATAGCAGCCTTCCAGTATCTGAAGGGGGCCTATAGGGATGCTGGGGATGGACGCTTCATTAGGGACTGTAGTGATAGGACAAGGGGCAATGGGTTAAAACTTAAACAGGGGAAGTTTAGATTGGATATAAGGAGGAAAGTCTTTACTGTTAGGCTGGTGAGGCACTGGAATGGGTTGTCCAGGGAGGTTGTGAATGCTCCATCCCTGGCAGTGTTCAAGGCCAGGTCGGACGAAGCCTTGGGTGAGATGGTTTAGTGTTAAGTGTCCCTGCCTGTGCCGGGGGGTTGGAACTAGATGATCTTAAGGTCCTTTCCAACCCTAACTATTCTATGATTCTATGTATGTCTATAGTTTAGATCATTCTGGACACATGAAGAAGATTCACAGTACCTTAACAGGATTTGTTTACTTCTAAAGATGACAGAAAAGGGTAACATACAAGTTAAGATTATATTGCCATTTTTTTTTTTGTTAATAACCTGTGACACCACAGTTTGCATTCAGTTAAAGGAGATTCTCAATTATTTATGGATTTAACTTCAGTAAATAAAAAGCAAATACTCTTTGTCCTCCTGCCTCCTCTTTCTACCCTGTTCCTCCAGATCTTTTCTCTGATGGAATTCAAATATCACAAAATCTATTGCTATGCATCCTACTCAGTTTGATCTGAGCTTCAGAAACTAACAGAAAGCAATGGAATCTAGTAGTAGTGAAATTGTATTCATCATCTGTTTTTAAACAAAAGGGTATTTAACAAAACTCTTTCCCCCCAAAGAAAAGTAGTAACAACCAGAGAGGAGCTGAAATGTATGCACAGTAGCATCTTTCTGTCACTAGGAATCTACCCATCTGTGCTGACTCGCCAAGCCTCCTGTGAGGCCATGAAACCCCACAGCCATTCAAATTGGAGACAGGCCACTTCTCACAGGTGCTATGGGGGTGTCAGTGTCATTACCACATTTGGACACTATTACTGCAGCAGCTCACAGTAATTACGTTGTTTAAAGTGTTTCCACCTGCAAAGTAATTAACATCTAAGGGACAAAACCTGGACAGTTTCAGACCTCACTGAGATGAAGTCTGGTAGACTGTCAATCTGTTTTCAAGTTAAGAAATATTTCTTCATTTTCATTTCATTCACATAAATGGGCTTTAATGCTTGTTGGTGATTAACAAGAAAATCTGATATCAATATTGGATTGAAATAGCAATGTTTTATGTAGACATTGATAAGGAACAGATCTCTCCACACCCACCACCAGACAAAAGAAGCAAAATTAAATGACCACTAGTTTTTATAAGTCTACTCAGGTATTAAAATAGAGTTCTATCCAAGTCCTGTCTTGTTTCCTCCCCTTACTTTTTCCAGACACTGGGAAAAAATACATACTGTCTTGCTCTTCACAGCTCTATTTTATGTTCTCAGCTTGCAAAGACTGGTGCACTTACTTAACCTTCCTCTTTGTGAGTCACTCCACAAAGTTAATCAACCTCCAGTCCACTGCAAACAAGAATCTCCGACATTATAGCGTTCATGATCTTTCCTACTTCACTTACAGAAATAATTTATTTTAATAAGTATGTACAGAAACAAAATATTAATAGAAAAGTCTGTTCAAGAGCTTAAATAATATTTTTTTAATTAAAAATATTATTTTATCTATTTTTTAGTAAGTATACTCTGCTTGCAAGTCAACTGCTTCAGTATCACACAATCTTCACATGTTTAGAAGAACTTTGTGTGAAAATATCTTAACAGCTGTGTTTAGATTACACAATGGTAACTTTACATGGCATGGTCAGCCTTCCAAAGTTCTCATCATCCATGCAAATGTTATGAAGCTATTGAATACAGTACCAAAAGGTCTTCCAGTATGAAGAAGTTATCACTGTAGAAAATGTCTTCCCTTAAAAACTTATCTACCACCACTATCCCCTATCAAAGAAAATATACAGCACTAAACCCCAAATCCTCTTTTAGAATAATGAAAGTGCTAAATTAGTATTTAGCATAGAAAAGCTTGCTAAAAAGGATGTTAAGTTCTGGCAAAGACCAGAAATGTATGCCCATAAACCACCAGTTTTAAGATTATTTTTTTTATTTTTACAGCCATTTTCCATGGAATTGATTATCCTGCGAGAAAAGTATACTTGAACAAACAGCACACCTGTACCACGTTAAGACCAGAATGAACTATGAGACCACAGTATAAATTAACTTGGGAACCAAATTATGCTTAGCAACAAGTCATCTTTACACTCCATAACATACCAGCAACCATAAAATTTTGTGCATACCAGAGTACTTCACCATCACCACGACTGTCTAAGTGTCAGAGTCCGTTCAATTAACTCCACCTACTAGCTGAATTATTTTCATACACAAGGATTTCAGTGAGCAATAGCCAAAACAGTTATGACTGCAATACTACATACTTCAGGAAAAAAACATACCTTAAAAATGTCAGAACTAGTCTATAATAACCCACCTAACTGCAAAGCTTCCTTAAATTCCTTTCTTCCTAGTCTTGAGTCACTGCTGTCATTACAGAGTCATCTCATCATAAAAACAGTTTGCAAATATGAGAACTTTGTTTCTACCCTGGAGTAACCTTAGATGAACTACACAGACATGTTTGAATCTGCTATCAGGTTTCAGCACGAACACACAATTCTGTAGCTCTGATTCAGAGCATAAAATGAAGAAGCCAAAATAAGTTGTAGCTTCTTACAGAAGTTTCACTTTAAATACCAAGCTTTAAACAACTGAGACACAAAGTTATCTTCTTCACAGTCCAAAAATAATTTTCAAAGGAAGGTTAAAACTAGAAGCAAATTTAGTTGCGGCTCAATGCGCACAGAGTTACATAACTGCAATACAAGCCACGAGTGGAAAAAACAGAAACTGTTTCTTCAAAATAGTAGGTGAGATATTGCCCGATACAAATAAGTTCATACTGGCAACATGACTACTAAAAGAAATGCAACTGGAAAACTCTACTGTTTTGTTTGCTGTTCTAAATTTGATACAAATATAACACTTCAGAGGAATAACAAAAGTCATTATCAACCATCGGCATCCTCTGGCATTACTCTACTGGGCAAATACACACCAATGCACAATCCTCACTGTTGTGCAGACAACCCTTCTGCCAACCTGACACGCAAATACCTTCAATAAAATGAAAGGCCTGTGCTCAAGTTTTGAACTTAAAACCTGTTAATGACATTTAACTTTGCTCAGTAATGGAACACTTTTAATGGCAAGACTGATGCACCCGTTTATTGCCTAGCAAGACAAGATGGGATATATAACGTGCAAGTCACAAGGCTCGACGCAAAGCTAATTCTTTGAGAGTAATTATTCCCCACCCCCTATCTAGATGATTTCCCATTCCTCTCTGGGAGGCGATGAGCGGAGAGAGACCGACAGCCCCGAAGCACTTGTTTAGCCGGAGCAGAGAGCGGTCGGGGCCTTAGCGCCGAGCTATCGAGGGCCAGGCCCGACTACCCACGCCACGGCCGAGTGCGCCCAGCCTGGCCCCGCCGCTGGGCCTCACCGCGCCCCTGGCCCGCAGCGACTGCCGCGCCCCAGGCGGGAGGTCCGCGGACACAGGAACAGCGTGGGAGAGCGGCCTGACGCGGCGAGGCCTCACCACACCTGGCGCGATGAGCAGCGCCCCCCAGGAGCGCCCGGCCCCGCGTTCCGTCCGTCACTCACCTCTTCATCCCAGCCCCAGGCGTCGGCACGCACACGCCAGCCCACGAGCCTCTCCCGGCGCCGGCTCACAGCCCCGCAACGACCCGACCCCCACCCCGTACACCCATCGGCAACACCCAAAGAACGCCCCCTGCAGCCTCAGAGGGCCCGCCCTCTCGCCCCCTCGGCCTCCCTCAGAACCAATCAAACCGCGCTGCCGCCGGGCATCGCAGCACTATTGGCTAAGAGCGGTGCCAGGTTACAGGGCGATTCGGGAATTTCCACCGCATCAGGCTTGTATGAGCAGCGGTGGGGGGGTCTGCAAGGCACGGTTGGCGGAACGCTTCCGTGTCAGGACGCTGATTGGTCAACTAGAGAGCGAGGGCGGGACGTCGAGAGCTACGGCGGGCCTGATTCGACGGCGCCGGCGCCTGCGTGTGTCCGGTCGCGGTGCTGCCGAGGCCGGTTTTATCCAGCGAACGCGGGCGGCGGGAGGGCTCTTCATTTAAGTGCTTGGCAGCGGTGGCGTTTAAACGTGGAGAGCTCTTCCTTGAGCGGCGAATGGGAGGACAAACGCTGGAACGGAGTGTTGTTCGGCAGGACGGCTGTGTTTAAGCGCTCTATTCATGCTTGCAGCATTTCCAGAAGACAACGTTTATTTTTAGAGATAATTTTTTCAATTATGCAGTCTTCTAAATTGGTGCTTTTAAAGCACCATTCTGTTTTAAATACACTCTGAAAGGGTGTGCTGCTAGAAGTGGGCTTCCTGCAAAGAACCATCCTTGGGAAGGCTACCCCATGTACCTAAGGTGGCTACTATAATGTTGACATACAAATAAACGCTTTCCTCATTTCTTAATATCTTTAACATTGCCTTAATATGCCTTTCTATGTCATTTAGGAATATGTGCAGTTCAGCATCCCAAAGTGAAAAGTGTTCCAGTCAATGCTGTTCCTTACAGATATCTAAGATCTAGAAGGAGTTGGTAAATAGGTCCAACGCACCCTAGGTCGTGGCTGGGTACCCCTCTCTGAGCTGGGAAGCAATGTGTATCACTGTCGCAGCTCTTGGCAAGCAGCTGGGAAGGCACAACATGGGCTTTGGCTGGTGCAGATACGAGCAGGATGGAAAGGATGTGGCCTGTGCATCAGGAACCAGAGGGAGTTGGAAACTCCTGAGGAAACGATGAGATGCCATCTGTTGTAGAATCAGTGCTGATACTAATCATTTTGTTTAGTCACTTAGAGGGAGATTGCATTTTAAAGGCTCAGTTTGGTTTTGAAGAATAAGAAGTAGTGGAAAGCCAATAAGATTAGTACGTGGCGTTTGTTCTCTTTGCAGAAGGGCACCCAGTGGTCCGCGGCAATGCTCTGCTGATCCTCGAGGTGGCTGTCTACCACAGCAGCTGCATTTCACGCTGCTCGTAGCGCTGCCTTTCATCCTACTGCAGAATGCATTAGCATGTCTGCTGTAAATCCTGAATTATAGAATCATAGAGTAGTCAGGGTTGGAAAGGACCTTAATATCATCCAGTTCCACCCCCCCTGCTATGGGTAGGGACACCTCCCGCTAAACCATGCCACCCAAGGCTCTGTCCAACCTGGCGTTGAACACCGCCAGGGATGGAGCATTCACAAGTTCCCTGGGCAACCCATTCCAGTGCCTCACCACCCTAACAGGAAAGAACTTCTTCCTTATATCCAATCTAAACTTCTCCTGTTTAAGTTTTAACCCGTTGCCCCTTGTCCTGTCATTATGTTTACATTTGGGGTATAAATAAATTACACGTGGAATGCAACTCTAAGCGTTGAGTACACCATAATTATAATTGAGAAGAAAAGGGGTCGGAGACTTTAGAAGAATAAAATATCAAAATACTAGATAGGAATGGCTACGTGGAATACCTAATTACTCAAAGCCAACTATTTAAAAACATTTCTCTAGTCCATGTAATTATGTACTTAACTCTCCATGATTTCAACAGGAAAATTATCACAAACCATTTGAAAGTGTCATTCTACAGACAGAGTGGTGCTTGTGAAATGCAGCCCAAGTTCATACCCCACTGACCCATGAGGCTCGTGTGACAGCTCTGTGTCACCAGCAGACCTCTGCTGAAAGCCTGGCCAAGACTTCTGTTTACTCTAAATCTCCTTCATACTCCTGTAGAAGTATAAAGCAGTTTTAGAGTGATAACAGGGCTTTGGCAGCATAAAATGTGCTTGCTAATAGTTCTTTCATGTTGAAAACCCTGTCAGTAACACCAGCACGAGATACTTGCCATTAAACGGTGAATTAGTTTAAACCACACTCGGGTTAAAGGAGACATGTTTTGTAATAATAAAGTTTGGTAAACAAGTTTCACTTCAAATGACACTATACAATTAAACATTATATAAATAACATGGAGCAGAATTTTGTGCTATGACAGAACAGAAATATGGTATTCATTTATCACAGCATCACCCCAAAAGTGCAGACTATTCATGCTGCTTCAAATATGGAGATTGTAGGTATTTATCCAGCTGCATTAATAGAAGAGAGGAAAGGTTCTTGTAGAAGCATCAAAAACAACATTACAGCACTTTCTAAATATTAGTTATGTGGTAAAAGGGGACTTGAATAAATACATTAGGTATTTCTGTCTCCTGTTGTTTCTCATTACCTACAGCACTAATGAATGATGTGGTAAAAGAAATAAGGTTTACTTGCATAGTTTGGGCCCTGACAGGGAAAAGCAGCACAGACTCAGAAGCTGCCCGAAGCTGTATTTCTGAGGACAGAAGCTGAAGAGTATTTTGTAATGTGGGTATTACAGCCTGTCCTGGGTTCAGCAGTAGCAGTCATTTTTCTCCTTCTTGGTGGCTGGTGTAGTGCAGTGTTTTGACTTTCAGCTCGGGAACAGAGCTGATAGCGATGTTTTGGTTTGGCCAAGGACTTTGTGAGCCTCATGCTCTGCCAGGGGGGAGGGGAAGCCAGGAGGAAGCAGAGACAGGACACCTGACCCAAACTGACCAAAGAGGTATTCCATACCACAGCACGTCATGCCCAGGATGTAACTGGGAGGGAGCCGGAAGGGCTGGGAGACTGCAGGGTTGGAGGAGGTATCGGTCGGTGCTTGGTCGGGCTGAGGGGGGGCAAGTTATCGGTCTGCTGGTGCTGAGGTCTTGTATTCTCTTCCCTTGTTATTTCCTTTATCATTATTATCATTGGTGGCAGCAGCAGTGATTTGTGTTATACCTTAGTTACTAAACTGTTCTTATCTCAACCCGTGGGAGTTGCATTCTTTTTGATTCTCCTCTCCGTCCCTCTGGGAGCAGGGGGAGGGAAAGAAGGGGGGGAGTGAGTGAACGAGTTACCTGACTGGGTTTAAACCACAACACAGCCACATTCTTGAGCAAGAATAAGACATTGCTGTGCCTATAATAAAATGCCAATAAAATCTGGCAGTAAACTGCAGTTTGTGTGTAACATTGGTTTATCTCACAATTTTTCAAGCTGATACTGGCTTTGTTTTATATGGTTAAATATCGTTCCTGTCTGCATTTATGTAATCTGTCTGACTGGGAACATGGGAACTGCCCAAATCAGGATATAACTCAAGGCAGGACGTTTTACACTACTGCAGCTGGTTCTTTAACAGTCTAAGCACAAACATGATTTGCAATACATGGCATTGCAAGGCTAGCTCATCTGGTAGCTGGTTACCAGGTTTTGGACAGAGACTTTAAGGTTAGTCTTCCTAAAATGGGTACTTTCATCTTAAATCAGTGTGTAGGATTTAAATCCTATGACAACAACTTCCATGTATCAAGCATTAAGATTTTGACCTTGCCTTGCTCCTATGTTATTGCAGAGCCCTCTTTTTCCACATCCTTTGCCAGATGCATTTTAGCACTGTTCTTTATGTATGCCAAAATCAGTGCTTTCACAGAATACAGACTCTTAGTAAGTCAGTGCATGAGGATCCCTTTTTCATCACTATGACATGGTTTTGCACTAAAATTTACCAGAGTTTTATATATAGTCAGATAAATTGATGGTGTCAGTGCACTTGCTCATCTCCCAGAAGGGTATGCTGCCATTGTGAAAATTCCCCTTTTCCACTTCTTAGCCCTTTACATGGTGTTTCACTGTTGGAAGTGGAACTGAGAATGTAAAAAAGGTACTAGTTACTCATACTGCTAGCAAACATACTGCTAGCAAACACCATTGTGTACTGTATAAGTTTTTTGAATGTGCTAATCAAGTAGACTTTAGGAAGTAAAATGCTGCCGGACTACAGGCACTGGGTCCCAGTGAACAGCTGTTTGGACCAAACCCAGGCTTATGGGAGCAGGGTGAGGAGGAGCAACCTGTGAATGTCATAGCTACTGGGCATGAAAAACCCCTTCAGAAACCAGCTGTGACCATAACAACTAACTTGACTTAGGCAGGCAGAATTCTTGCAGAACCCCCCTGATTTGTAAGTTATTTCATATCAGTCAGCCATACTCATAATAAGGGATTTCACCCTTTTTTTTTTTTTTTAATCATCCAGGTTCATTTGGCTAGGACTTGCTTATTCTGAAATAATTTAGAGATCACACTTGATGTACTAAATGTATACTTTATATACTTTTCTCTTTTAGCTTTATCAAAAGCAGGACAATAGCACTAAGCATCACAAAATAATACATTGCTTTTTGGCAACACATAAATTAACAGATTCAGAATTCAAAGTTCAGAAACATCTGTGAACTGTCAGCATAAGTGGAAAATGCGCTGAAATCCCCCTTAGTTTTTGCTTACAATTGTAACCAAACCCATAAATATAACTTTAAAGGAATGAGACTTAAGCCAGAAACCCATGCTTTGTCTACACTTAAAAGGGTTGGCTGGTATAGCTACACCTTAGAGCTCTATTGGCAAGCACAGATTTCTTTTCTGGTATAACTTAAATCATTTTCTGCATGGAACACACTAAACTGGCTAAAGGACTCTGCCAACACAACAGCATCTACACGAGGGCTTTTGCCAGTGTGGCTGTAGCTGCATGGGAGTGATTTTTCATCTTTCTGACAGCTATTTTGGCAAAACTTCTATATTTAGACTGTATCCAAGTTAAAGTTGGCATTGTTTTATGTTGCAAATAAAGCAGAAGAGATGCATTACCAGTTTATGGGCCTGGTTTTACATTATTTTAAATTGTTTGTTCTGAAGGAATGCGTGGGGCAGGATCCATGTGGTCCTTTGGATGTTTGCCTCCCACATTTGTGTTGCATTAAAATCACTTAGTTTTTCAATGAGTAAGCTTTGGCAATGGGAAACTTACGTTACTAAAAAAAGATCGTGTCCATATTATTCACCCCAGAAATAGCTATTCCAATGCTTCATAGCAAATTTCCAAAGTGAACTGTAAAAAGAAGCATCTGGGCTAAAGGACCTGTGGATTAATGCATCATTCTTCTTCACTCACTTTGCCCTCTTCAACAAAGAGTTTAAGCATAGGATTCATTTTAAGCACACACATAAGCCCATTTCGAATTCAGTAGTCATGTCAGATATGATAATGCTTCTTTTTGAACTTTAATTAAGGAGATATTTGAAATTAATCATGTTTAAGCACTGTGCAGACTCAGGATTTCTGTCAGAACTGCAAGTTTAGATAGAGTGAGGCTATTTATTGTGGTCCCATCTGCATTTTCTATTCTGAACTGGATGCTAAGTCAGTAGTTTAAAGATGTCCCAAGGGGCATATTTTTTCCACATAAGTACATTCACGTATTTGGCTCTTTTTTCCTAACCTCTCTTCCGTTAAGTGTGCTTTTCTGGTTTCAGAAATCCACGCAGAGAAGTTCTCATTGATTTTGTACTTGTGCTTACTGTTGAACTCTTTCCTCTGCCAGACCTCGTGTTTGCAGGTGTAGTCCTGATGCTCGGGTTTGCAAGCCTGCCCTTGCTCCTGGAGCTGCACTGTGGGCAGCAGGCCGTGCCTCACTTGCAGACAGCGCAGGAGCTATTTGAGGCAAATAGGAAATCTCATGCGTAATCAGTCAGCACTGAACCAGTGAGCCAATTGGATGAGGAAGTCTGATTTAATCAAGGCTTCTTCCTTCCTTTTTGTGAAACGCAGAATGTGCCTGTTAGAAGAAAGCACAGACATATTTTTCTGCGCTTTGAAAACGCGAAGCAGGCTTTTTGTGACTTCGCACACACTATGCAGGCACCACAACTGGAAGGTCTTCAGCAGTATCCAGGTGGGTACACTGTGCACTTTGCTTTCTGGCGTTACCTATGACTCAGTGGAGCAGTTGGACTGGCATCTACCCTGAAACGGAACAGGATGAGTTTCTGTTCAGAGTAAAACTGTGTCATTTGTTTCAGGGGTTTTGAATTGTTTTTTAGTATATATATATATATATATATATATATATATATATATATGTAAAAATAAATTGAAACTTAGTTAAAAGAGCTTACAATGATTTTTAGTTGTAAAACTGAAACCGTTTCTATGAAGTACAGGTAGTTTTCAAGACATATATTCAAGGCAGAAGACTTGTGTATCATAATGTTCACTTCTGCATTCTTTTGTTTACAAGTGTGTTGTGTTTCTCTGGTAAATCATGTTTTAAAGATGTGTTTATATAGAGAGATATGAATACATATTTTATGTATATAAAGTTATGCGTATGTAAAATGATACATATTTTCAGAATAAATACAGTTGTGCTTATGAGGTTATACCACCTTCATACAAAGAGTTGTAGTTTAAAATTGGCCATTTTCAGATATCTTATTTAATCTACTATATTTAATATTATCTTTACATGAAAAATGAATATTTGCAAGTTTATGCTCTTGGGATAAACTGTCATGGTTTTCCAAAGACTGAGCAGTTAGACAATAAGTGCTACTCTTCATGTTCAGAACGAAGATCTTAAGAAGGACTGGAAGAACAGTGAGAACTTTTAATTTCTAGTCCAAAGTCCAAAATTAAGGGCTTCCATGGTGCTCTTATTAAGGAGGATGACATTTCTGTACTTGCTTATCCAAGTTGGGCAAAGGAAGAAGGGTTTCTGTTAGAGGAAAGTGGTTTGCATTTCCATTATTTCCAGTGGGGAAAGTAATTGCTTTTCATTGTGTGGCCTTGCAGTCTGCCAGAAATCAATATGCCTGCTGAAGAGGTTTCCTCACCTTTGTATCCAGCATTGCATAACTGTGTGGTAGAAAAGTGGAGGCCAGATGCTATGTAGCAACATCCCTGTACTAAACCCTCTCATTACTCAATAGCCTCTGCTTGGGCATTAATTTTACATCTATAGCAGGGAGACTTGTTTTTTAAAAAGGTAGTTTGTTTTGTCATTTGATTTTCACCCTTTGGCTGAATTATGAGCAACATTTCTTTCATACTAACTATTTCTTTCATACTAACTTTCAACACTACCCCAGCAAAGAGTATACTGTGTTAAGTATTTTATCAGCATGTGGTAAAATAGTAGTCCTATCATATCAGAACAGGAATATAGATCTACTACAAGCACAGTATGTAAGTTAAAAGGACAAGTAATGGGAAAATGCTTCTGTACAATAATTAGAAAACTCAGTTCTCCTTCCATCTAGCCATTGTCAGATTCAATTATTTTGTTTTCATAGCACAGAGACAGATCTCTGGAGAGAACTTGAAACTGTGAAATATGAAAAAAATATTATACTGTAGTAGATATTGCCCTTTTTTTGTCCTACAAGTTGTGATTAAGAACAGATGACAAGTTTTGGAGAGTTAGAAACAGTGAATCCTAGCAGTGTAAAGGGACCAGGCTGCTAGTTATACTAATTATCTCCAAGATTTATCTGAGATTTATCTGAGCTCATACTTGCAAGCTTAAGGGCAAAATACAGGTAGAAAAAAATCTGCCCCCACTGAAGTGTATACCAAAATTCTCATAGATAAGAATGGAGTTCTGCACCTCATCTTATTCAACATAACTTACATTTTTCATGTTTAATTTTAATTTTCCAAGGAGATATCTAAACACTTTCAGTGGTAATGGTAATAGAAATGGTTTTTCTCTGGTACCTATTTAGATATTTCTATTTATTACTTTAGTTTTTGTGAATGTGCAGTTGCCCTCCTACAAGTTCACAGAGACCAATGAGTAAGTCAGTAAAAAAAGATTGCCAGTCTGGATGCTCTAAAGGCAGGCTACTAAGAAATGTCATTTTTGTAATCTTTCAGTGATAGCTTGCGATGGACCAAGACTCGCACTGCGCAGCAGAAAGGGAACTGTTGGAAGCTGTAAACAGGATTACTATGTTTTCTACCACAAGTCCATCTGATAAAGAGCAAAATCAACCCCAAGCTGAAATTTCATGTCAAGTGAGAAAAGAAAACCCAGAAAAAGATGACCTGCAAGGTTGACGCTACCCTTTAATTTTATTTTTCATGTAGCTATTTATGCCATTAATCTTTTCTATTAAAAACTTTGCTTCATATATCTGTAGTCCAGATTTACGCTGCTATACTTCACTGAAAATAAGCCTTAATTGAACTTGGTCAAATAATGTGGCAGTAGTGAAACAGATGCACATCCTGGTGTATATATACACACACAGAACTTTCCTTTTCAATCCCTTACACATAAAATGTATTCCAGATTTAATTTACACACCAGGGATCAAAATGGTGATTATCAGATGGCGTGTCTCAGGAGTGAACTTTCTGCATGTCACAAAATCTGAACTTCTTGACAGTGTCAGCAAGGATACCAAGACTGAAGCTAATCTCAAGCAGTAGTCTCTCACATACCCTATGGAGAGTCAGCATTGAACATTCACTATGCCTAAGATTGCTGACATCTGTTATTAAATAAAATGTTACGTATAATCCAAAATATATATCATCTCATCAAGATTTTCAGCCTGCAAAGATGTCATAAACACCCCCTCCTTTAGGAAAATATATGCTTCATAGAGATTGAGCCAAACCCCAAAGGCCTCCATAATTGAAACTGTATGACCAAATGATTAAGAATATGTAAAATTGGGGCCAGTAAAGGAGTACTGCGGTGCCTTTACAATTCTATTGCTGCATCAGATTGTTATCTTCCCATTCATTTGTGGTCATTCAGATCCATTAACTGAATGTTAGATATATTGCAGACTGACTTCAGCTGACTACATTGGCAGAGACATTATTAATTTGAAGTTGGGACGGGTGTACCCACAGAAATACAAACATCCCATTTTTTTAATCCACTTTCCTAGCACATACACCACCTGATGAAAACTGTTGTGAGTAGATTTCAAAGACAGAAAATCACCCTTTTGAAAAACTGCAACGAATTCCCCCGTAAGCAAAGTCTTCAACCAGCTGTCCTACATTTTTATATATGCATGTGTCTATATGTTTGTGTGTGTGTCTGTGAGGGGAGAGAGAGAGGAAGGAAAGGAGGTATATAAAATATTTGTGGCTGAACTGTGTCATCAGCTTAGCTACAAAATAAGAAGAAATGAGAATTCTTCCTTTGGCTGAGCTGGATATCCAAGTTTCTCCTGTCAGCTTAGGACATTTGTGTGTTCTCAGTTTTCACCCATTACTGCACAAGCCCAATATCTGAATAGACTCAGTGTTTGAATATATGCACTGTATTATCTCCTGCTTTTAGCAACAAAGAAGCCCAGAGAAACATCTGATTCAGAAGACTGAGTCAGCGTTTCTTAGGGCTACTTTTGGGAAGGTGAAGCCTACCTCCTGCTCAGACTGTGCCCAAGCTTACAACCTAGACGTTCAATAATTTTTGTCAGTAACTTTTCTATTACTTTGCATTCTGCAGACTATTTAGTGTCTTTCAAAATGTCAGACCACAATAACTTTCCTCAAAGAATCTGGACCTGTCTTTATTAGCAGTGAAATCGCTTATTTTATCAGTCTTTAGGTCTTGCAGCAGCAGAAATTCTAGCCTTTCCTTTCACAATAAATGCATAAGTTTTGTTTCCAACTGCAAAGGTTATAATCTGAAATACTAAATTTATTGGTTTTAGATTCCAGTGTATCCCTAAGTCCCAACTCTTCAATGACCACTAAGGAGCTTCAGGAATATTGGAGGAATGAAAACCGCCAGTGCAAACAAGTCAAGCTTGTTTTTGAAATCCCATCAACCAGAATTGTAGAGCATCATTTATCTAAATATGTGGTAAGCTAAAAAATGAATATGTAAGAAGATCATTAGTTTTTATTCACTCTACAGGGGTCTGCACAGCACACAGCATGCTTCACTACATGAAAGCCTTACTGAGGGCCAAGTTTTGCAAGCTGTGATCATACTGAGTAGAAAGAACTTGTTATCACTGATCTTATGGGCATAACTGATGGAATCTGCCTCTAAAATACCCCTCTGACAACCAGTTCACAGTATCTGCAGCAGTGGAAATGTGATATCATGTGAATTAGTCTCTTGAGTGTCCTTAACACCTGGAGGTTTGTCAACCTAGAGGAAATTCACACAAGTATAAAAATATCAGTATAGTTGCACTTCCACTGTAGCAGCTGCATTGCATTTGTATAAATTCATCATCAGAGATTTATCTTAGCACAAGTGCAAAATTCTTTGAAGTTGACAAAGTCTAAGACATCCTCCAGCTAGGTTGCTTAGGATCATTCCTCTTACCTATATAGAGCTCCATTACATGGCACATTTCTGTCATATTTTTAAGGTGAAGCATGAGTATGAGGGACAGAACAACAGAACAAGTTGTATTTTTGTATCTTTACTCACAGTACGGACACTTGTTTTTTATTTCTGGTTCTGCTCCTGGCCTGCAGCGGGACTGAAGGGACTACAGCAAGTCTCCTTCAGTACTCTTGTGAAATAGAGATGTTTTCCTTGTTTGCAAGGACCTCTGAGATCTGTAGATGAAAAATGCTAAGAATCTTACCAGTTTCTGATACGGGGTTGTGCAGCTTGGTAGAATATGGAGCAGGTAAAAGCTTGGGAGACTGTCCTAAGACCTTGTTGCATGCTATACATGCCTACTTAGGTGCTGCCATACTTACACACACTCAATAGTATCTAGCTTGGTGAATAGTTAAAAATTATATTAGTATAACTATATGAGAACAAGAGTATGATTCAGTATACGTGCAAGTAGTTAGACTTAGCCATACGTTACATGCCTAGGCAAAGATATGTACATTACAACAAAATTGAGCCTATTTGAATGATTATCTAACTAAATGGTATTTCGGCCCTCTTTCATGCATACTCCACAAAGAAAAGAACAAGTACTTGTAAATTATTTACTTAGCTGCCCTTGATAAAATGATAGCTTAAAAAATTGCTCTTATCATTGTTTTCGATATGCATCACGCATATATATACTTTTCAGCAGGGAGTAGGAAAAAGTGTAGGAAAATGTCACAGTGCTTACAAATGAAAAGACCTCAAAGAAGTCAGCTCAAATTTAGAAACCTTTCAAGGAGCACCTGTAAAGATCATTTATGAAGATTAAAAGAGAGAATTTCTTTTTAAGGAAAAGCAAGGAAGGGAATCAGACAGAGAATAATGCTGATACTGGTTTGCAGTCTTCAACAGTAGCAAAGGAAACAAATGGCATGAGTACAATGGCTCCAGGTTTTGTATAATTTAATGAGAGCAAGGTCAAGTTGAATATGAACCTGGTCATTGTCTTGAAGCCAGCAAGGTCAACAGTCCATGTCCTTAGCTGGTGTGCAGTGATGTAGTTAAGCGGCCCTCAGTGGAGCTCCACTGGTTTACACACATCAAGGATCTGGCCCTTCCTTAGCATCATTGTGCTTGCATCAGAACCAGAAGAGAATCTATTTGTACATCACATAACACACAATTTTATTTTGCATCAATTTTTCTAATATCACATTTATTATTGTCATTTTAAGGGTAGTGAAGAGCTGAGGAAGACATACTCTTGAGTACTGTTAATGTGGGACAGCTTTTCTGTTAGCGAAGGGTTTTGGATGACAAACAGATTGCTGTAGAAATGTCACTCTTTTTCATTATTTATATGCCAAGTAAGTTTTGAATAACAGGACAATGATTTAAAAGGGAGAAAAGGCTTTAGAGTTGCTCCATCTTATTATTGCACACACCAAACATTACTGCCAAATACTCCCTCTTCTTCCACAGCTTTAATAATACCCCCAGATCCCTAGAAATGTCTGATACAAACTGCATTTCTGAGTATTACAACCAATGTAAAGTAGATTATATTCAATATTAAGTCTGGGAAATCCATTCAGTTCACTGTAGATGATTGATTGCAGCAGCTATGGCTGTTATAAACAAAATTCAGCTACAGAAATGCTTTGTAAATGGCTTTACTTGTGTCAGCCTGCTGCTAATTCACTGTTCCCAGCACCTTGCCGGATGGGATCTTTTAGTGCATTACAACTTACTTACATGCTAAGGCTAAATTTGGTGACAAAAGTATAGCACAACAGGAGGAGGGAATTATTAATTTGATGGCTGCAGATTTTTAAAGCAGACAAAATCTGAGTGCACTGGGGCAACAGTGGTCCATCTCATGCTTGTTTTTCTGTTTCATTGCGTTTAGATGTATAAAATCATCATTCTGCAAACAGGGAGTTTTGACAGCAACAAGTCTGTAATTGAGCGCCGTTACTCAGATTTCGAGAAACTGCACAGAAATCTGCTGGAGGATTTTAGTGAAGAAATGGAAGATGTGACCTTTCCCAAAAAAACTCTGACAGGGAACTTCACAGAAGAAATAATCAATGAGAGAAAATTAGCCTTCAAGGACTACCTGAGACTTCTATATTCTATGAAATATATCAGAAGATCAAAAAAATTTATTGATTTTTTAACAAGGCCAGAGCTTCAGGAAGCATATGGGTGCCTGCGGGGTGGCCAGTACACCAAAGCTTTGGAAATCCTTTTAGAAGTCATTGGTCTGCAGGCAAGGCTGACAAGAGGCAGCCCTGTCTCAATTGTCCCTACTCTCTGTGCCATAGTGGTGTGCCACAAGGACCTGGAAAACCCAGCAAGTGCCTTTGAATATGGAGAAAAAGCTCTGTCGCATCTTTGTGTACATACTAGCCACAAGTATTACATTCCATTGTTAGAAACAATGATCACTCTGGCATATGAACTTGGCAAGGATTTTCTGTCTTTGCAAGAAAAACTGGAAGAATGGAAGGCAAAAAAGGATCCTATTCGTATTTTTACCCTGAAAGAACTTGCAGTTCGCGAGTATGTACAATGAACACAAGAAACAATTTCTTTAAAGAGCAAAGCTGTCAACTTCTTTTCCCGGATGCAAGCTTTTGAAAGAATAAGAACTGGAAATCACCTGTTTGGGTAACATAATATTGCATTAATAGAAAAAAAATTATATCTTTTTCATGTTCAGAAGGGACATTTACATGTACATGTACATGTACAAATATGAAGAGCACTTGAACTTATTAAGGTTTCTGGAAACAAATTTGCACCAAAAAATCATTTATGATTTGCTTATTTTGAAAATAGCCCATTTCATGTGAAAAAAATCATAAGGAAATAAAATTAATAAAGCCCTTAAGAATCTGCAGAATCAGAGGGATTTCTTGCTTATGTAGAAACTTTTCAAGAAGAGAAACACCTTCTCAGACAATGCAATCTAGAGGATCCATCTTCAGACACTAGTTTTTTAGTCCTCCATCTGAAGCCTTATCAAACAGCACTTTGCCTTTTCTGAGAATGGTGGGATTGGTCCTCTTCCTAATGAAGTCAATTGCTGAGGGCAGGAGGACCTAGGGGTAAGGTTTACAATCAAATTTGATAGGAGCATGATATACAAGCACCAATCGTTCTGTCAGAGATGGGGGAGTATGCTTCATTTCCGTTTTGTAGCTAATACAGTTTTATAACTTGCATTGAAGGCACATTCTTGTTTGGGGTGATCTTTAAATAAAGATCTGTCCAGGATAGAAAATTCATGCCACGTGTGCTATATACATAATGCAAAGAAACCATAGAAGGGTGCTGTTGAGGAAAACATCTGGCTAATATAATGTTAGCATTTAATTGTGCTTTAAGGCATTGTTATCAGACAGTCTGTGTTAAGTATGTGCTTCCCTGTTGCCTTTCAGAGGTTTATGTAAACTGGGTGTTGCCTTAGTTTTACAGCCTGGTACACCATGCAAGTATCATCTTGGTGGCACTGCAATATCATAGCTAATTCTTTGAGATATCCAACCCACATGTAAAAATTCTAAGCTTGCCTTAGCCCTAACGCTCCTGTGAAAGCTTCCTGAAAGCTGAAAAAATATCTCTGTTTACCTACTTCTGTAATTTCCCTCAGGTCTATTGTTTCTCCCATATACTTTTTTTTCAGTAATCTGGTAAATTAATTCTCATAAATATTGTAATTAAATATCATGCTAGCATGGGTCATTATTCCCTGCTGAATGTAGTCCACTGAGTACTTTCAGGCCTTACCTCAGGTACAGATGCTACACACACACCACAAGGACACTGTCTATAAGTTAGGAATAACTGTATTAAGTTATCTCCCAGACATGAAAGAGTCAGTTAATTGAAAGTGCACTGAGCCTCAGAAACATTGCTTTACATTGCTACAAAAAGGATGGCTTGGAAAAAACACAGAATAATGAGAGTATCTAGGGTGGAAAGTTTACATTTTAAGTAGCTATTAACAGCTAGGTGTCAAAACACTTGTCGTGGTTTATTTGTTATTACAGATTATTTGTTATTTGACAATTATTATTTTTTCTAGTTCAAACTTAGAGAAGTAAGAGTAATTAACCAAGAAACTTATGGACTAATCTTCCCACAACATACCATGACCCGGGGAACTACAGACCAGTCAGTCTCACCTCTGTGCCTGGCAAAATGTTGGAGCAGATTCTCCTGGAAGGCATGCTAAGGCACATGAAAAACAACAAGGTGCTTGGTGACAGCCAGCATGGCTTCACTAAGGGGAAATCCTGCCTGACCAATTTGGTGGCCTTCTATGATGGGGCTGCAGAACTGATGGAAAGGGATAGAGCAGTTGATGTCATCTGCCTGGACTTGTGCAAAGCACTCGACACGTCCCACACGACATCCTTGTCTCTAAATTGGAGAGACATCAATTTGATGGATGGACCACTCGGTGGATAAAGAACTGGCTGAATGGGCGCACGCAAAGAGTTGTGGTCAATGGCTCAATGTCCGGCTGGAGACCAGTAACGAGTGGTGTCCCTCAGGGATCGGTGTTGGGACTGGTCTTGTTCAACATCTTCATCGCTGACATGGACAGTGGGATTGAGTGCGCCCTCAGCAAGTTTGCCGATGACACCAAGCTGTGTGGTTTGGTTGATACACTGGAGGGAAGGAATGCCATCCAGAGGGACCTCAACCCATTTGTGAGGTGGGCTGATGCCAACCTCATGAAGTTTAACCATGCCAAGAGCAAGGTCCTACACCTGGGTGGGAGCAATCCCAGGCACAGCTGCAGGTTGGGCAGAGAAGAGATTCAGAGCAGCCCTGAGGAGAAGGACTTGGGGGTGTTGGTTGATGAGAAAATGAACATGAGCCAGATTCAGTGTGTGCTTGCAGCCCAGAAAGCCAACCGTATCCTGGGCTGCATCAAAAGGAGTGTGACCAGCAGGTTGAAGGAGGTGATCCTGCCCCTCTACTCTGCTCTTGTGAGACCTCACCTGGAGTATTGTGTGCAGTTCTGGTGTCCTCAACATAGAAAGGACATGGAACTGTTGGAACAAGTCCAGAAGAGGGCCACGAGGATGATCAGGCGACTGGAGCACCTCCCGTATGAAGACAGGCTGAGAAAGTTGGGGCTGTTCAGCCTGGAGAAGAGAAGGCTGTGTGGAGACCTCATAGCAGCCTTCCAGTATCTGAAGGGGGGCTATAAGGATGCTGGAGAGGGACTCTTGGCTCGGGACTGCAGTGACAGGACAAGGAGTAATGGGTTAAAACTTAAACAAGGGAAGTTTAGATTGGATATAAGAAGGAAGTTCTTTACTGTAAGGCTGGTGAGGCACTGGAATGGGTTGCCCAGGGAGGTTGTGAATGCTCCATTCCTAGCAGCGTTCAAGGCCAAGCTGGACAAAGCCTTGGGTGAGATGGTTTAGTGTGAAGTTTCCCTGCCCATTCCAGGGGATTTGGAACTAGATGATCTTAAGGTCCTTTCCAACCCTAACTATTCTATGATTCTACCATGTTGCAGGTCAGTTAAAATGGATCAAAAGTATCACCTTCTTAGAGGATGTCTGAATCAGTAACAATGCGTCAAAAAAGAAAGTATGTCTGGGGTCTGTGTTACAGTCAGGCAACTTGAAGTTAAGGCAGAAGGGAAGCATGGCCGTCACGCTGCTCTCTTTCCACTGTAGTTTGTGGTGAAAGACCAAAGAAATGCCTTGGGTTCTCCTTAGCTTCATATGGGACTGTACATGTAGCTAATTGTGTCCACAGGCTCTCACCTTACAGCTGACTACAAGATTAGAGGGTCTGTAAGTATACACTGTCTAGCAAAGACAAATACCTGGAAAATGGCACATCATAGATCTTACTTAACCTCTACTTGTGGTAATTCTGTAATTTTTCATCTCCAAAGGATTCACTGATCCAAAACTAACCAATTTTTGTTGGTATGGCAGCGCACATTGGGAATACGAGGAGATGCAATTTGGCTAAGAGAAAAATTGACATAATTCAAAAGGCACTAAAATAAGCAATGCCAAAACCCCCCACTGTTTTGCTGGCATAAGTCAAATTTCTGAGAGTGCTTTTCCATATAGCAGAATTTTGTCAAAAAAATAGTTCTAGAATCACTTTATCTATCATTAGAAGGCAGAGGTCAGTTTCCTTGTATTGTGGGAGAAATTGAAATAGATAAATACTGGAATGCTGTGAAGAAAGAGCAATGTGTCTGTTGGCTAATTCCACCACAGTGGACTTCTTTAATGGAAAGCCATTTCAGTAGGATATCTGTGGCCATCAGTCAGACATATCTCAGAACTACCCAGGAAGAGCACATCATATCATCTGCATCACTCAGAGGGCTGATCTCAATTTCTGTTGCATTGAAGCATCCAGTCAAGCCACTTCATGTAGGAATCTGCACAGCCAAAGCACATGTCATCAAAGGGTCAAGCATAATGTTCATAAAATCAGCTTGTGATTTTATTACTATTACAACAAAATTAAAATCCCCAACAATTCAAGATCCCTCAGCAAATCGTGCATGCATTCCCTTCCTACAAATCCAGAGCCTATGACCTTTGGATTTGTTATTTCTTCAGAGGTGACATTGAAAATCCTTGGAAAGAGAAAGCTAGGATGGTGACGGCATTGAATGTGGACCAATTGGCCTGGATTTTGCCTGAAGCTCTGCCACAGAGTTGGTCTGAACTTTGCAGAAATAACAGCTTCTGTGCCCTATTTCCTCATCCAGTACTTCCTCAGTAAAGTTTCCTCACTCAGGTTTTCAGTGGTTACTAAACAGAAAAATTGTGAAACTTGACCCAGTAAGTTAACTCCCGCGTTTAGCATAGAAATGTGAACTGAGATGGAAGCAATTTTATTTTATCCAAGCCTATTTCATTTCTTCGAGGTATCCTGATATAGAAGAGAATTTAGAGGCAGTAAGTTGCCAAATCTGTGTGCATGGTTTCTTACTAATGCAGTCTTTATTTTAGACTCAGACTTTACTTTCCTCACATACCAGAGAAGTTACAAAATTTATCTATTTATTGCATAGGATTGTAGTGAGACCATGCTGGCTCATCAGCCTTATGGGCCATCAGCCAGTTCTGACTTCTTAGCTGTGTTCTCTCAGAGGCTGGTTGGACCTGTCAAAAGAATTCTGCCTTCATTTACTCACATTTCAAAAGTCAACTTCGGCAATTCTTTTTCACATGATTTGTACAGCAATGTGAGTATTCAGCAGTTACTAAAATAAAAGATAATGGAATTCCTGCTCCCATATTGACACTTCTATATTCCACTTGGAATTGCAGCCTGCAAGTTCCTTCTGCCTGTACATGCAACTTCATCTCTCACAGTTCAAAACATATAGCCAGGTAAGGTAGATTTCCTGCAGAGAACCAGAGATTAGTTTCTTTCCCTATTAACATTGTCTGGTGCAGGAGTACAGTAGTGGCTGCAGAGCCTGCATCCATGAATTGAATCTGTCCTGGCTTTTTCATAAAATGTATAAAAGTTAAATGGGTGCTTTCCACCTACGACTGTGTCTTGGTTTTCGTCTGAATAATGTTCTAAGAATGGCTTAAAAAGGAAATGGATATTTTCATCCGAATCTATCTGTCTTGCTTATCTATTGCTCTTCCTTAACTCATGTTAAGAAGC